ACAATGAGAAAGGAACTCCAACGCCCTCAACTAAATAAATCATATTTCTACCATACATTCTGTTGCCTTTCTCTTTTTATGTAAGCACACATTCATCTCTCTCATACACGTGCCCCCAATGTATATTTTTGCATGTGTGTAAAAACACAGACAAATACATGCACACAAGTACTTTAATTCTATTTTTAAGTCACAGTGGGAATTCCTTAGTGAGGAGGGATAAAAAGTTCCTGAATAAGACACTGAGAACATCTAGATTTATTATTTTTCCTATTTTACTTCCCAACTTACAGAATAAACTGTAATTAAAAGAATAAATCCATAGGAAATAAAAGAGGTCTTAAAAACTTAATTTACAAATTCCAGCTACAGTAGTTGGGAGTTTTTACTTGATCTATGTATTTCTATTTACCCTGTAACTAAGCTTCTAGCCATCTTAAGTGTAAACCACAGATCATTTACTAAGGAAATGTGATTTCTCAACGGTTCTATGAGCAGTAATAAATGGTCTAAAGGTGTTCTACATTTTGAGGCCCCAGGATATCCTTCTATCTTATATATCTGCAAGGTAGCAAAGGATAGCTATACACCTTGACACGGCAGAGATCCAGTGTAAAAAGGTGCTTCACTAGTTTGTTTTGTCCAAAAAAAAAAAAAAAAAAAAAAGCTCATATATAATTTTTTAGCTATTAAACACATAGGCAACATAATTCATTACACTCAATACAGCTTTAGTATAAAACTTATAATTTATGAGGTGATGTTAATAGCATAAATTAATATACCTTTTCTCTTAAAATCTACAATAAGTATTCTGAAAGCTCATTGGGGAAGGAAATTTTTAAATAAAAGTTTTAAAGCTGTGCGTGGTGGGAAAGGATTCTGTATGCTGAGGCTGAGATGAGAGCCTGAAGGAGAAGGAGAAGCGTCCCAAGCAAGACACCATGGGCTACGGAACCAAACATTTTCTCTTTCCTGCGCTCTCTCAATGATGAGTCACCTTTAGTTGTTTTTAAAACTAATTTCTTATTTTAAAAACTGCCCTAATTTCCACAAGGAATCCCTGAGACATACTCAACACTATACAGTGAAAAGAATTATCACTGTTGAGAGGAACTGATTCAACCCTTCCGAGCAGATGAAGACAACATCCTAAGTACCAAACGTTCCCATCCCTTCCAGGCTCATCAGCTGGAGCCAACTGGACTGCAATGATGCAGGGTGGAGTCATGTCAGGGCAAATCAGTCTATTCTCCAGGTAAAGCAAGGGTGGCGTTTAAACTGCATTGGAGCCTTCTGCACTGCACGTTGAAAAGTTTTCCATGGGGAACTTTGGGTCCATAAAGAGCCTACTTCAGTGGTCCCCAGCTTAAAAAAAAAAAAAAAGAACCAAGTGAAAGGGTTCTCTTGGGCCAGGAGCAGTACGGATCATGCATGTGTGTGTATGCACGTACTTCAGTGCTGGGGGTGGGCTGAGCAAGCAGGCAGAAGGGAAAAACGGAAGGAAAGCTGTGTTCCCCTACTTTGCTAAGAGTGAGACAGGGTTTCTCTTAGAAGACTGTTTTCCCAGACTGCACTTGAGATCACCGAAACGCTGCCATTCAAAGTAGCCAAACAGTCCCAAGCTTTGGGAACCTGGGGGGGAATAAAGAGTCATCCCACATTTGCTCTTTCACTCTCTCAAATGCCACGTTTCCTTTTATTTGCTCTGTATCACGGTGCAGAGAGAGGGAAGCTAACAAAAATCAGAGTAGGAATAAAAAGAATTTTTGCTATCTAGAAATAAGGCTAAGTTTGACCCACAATTTTTGCATTAATGACACTGGTTATTAGAAGAGACATAATTACTCTTTTATGTTTTATGTTCTCTTTCCTAACTCACTGATCAAAGAAAAACTTGAGATATTCAAATATATTCTTCACTGATCTCTTATTACACATCTTTTGAAAGACAGTATTATAAAAAAAATGTTGCTTTAATTTACTAAATGTGGATTTTGTGTCCCTCCAATATATGATACTGGGCTTCCCTGGTGGCTCAGAGGGTAAAGCATCTGCCTGCAATGTGGGAGACCCAGGTTTGATCACTGGGTGGCAAAGATCCCCTGGAGCTAAGGAAATGGCAACCCACTCCAGTATTCTTGCCTGGAGAATTCCATGGACGGAGCAGCCTGGTAGGGTACAGCCCACAGGGTCGCAAAGAGTTGGACACGACTGAGCGACTTCACTTCACTTCAATATATGTACGATATGAGAAATCTTTATCAAGTTCAAGGTATTAAGCAGTCACCATATTGTTTTACTTTTCTATAGAATGCCCATTAAAATTCAGTTGTTTTCAATGTATTGAGAGGAGGGGGGAAAAAAACCTATGTTCTGTCACATATATATTCCCACACTCACCCTTCTCCAAGAAATATAATTCTCGGCAGGAAAAAAAATCCTTGGAGCAATGTAGCTGTCTGCGATGAAACATTTGGACTGACTACACTTTCCTCCAGGGAATCCTTTAAATTGCCTCATTAAACTGCAGAATTCTGTTGACCATTTAAACGACCACTGCATTATTTCTATATACACCAGATTAAGAACAGAATTTAATAAAAGTGTTAAAAAGAAGTCTAAAGAGAAAGAGGATGAAGAAACCAGAAACTAAATACCTAAACAAATCTTAAATGAATTTCAAACCTATTAGCTTGAAATGATAGTTTAGTGTTATTAATAGCCTCAGCTCTTTGCAATACCAAACCACAGCAATCTTTTCAACTAACTTGGAGAAAAAGGCAACCTGCCTCCCATAAACACTGCGGATCAAGCTACCACCACCATCTCCACCCCACAAAAGGCCGAGACACAGGAAGGACCGCAGGCCAAGTATCAGCGAACTTACACGATGGGTGTGACCTACACAGGCTCAAAATCTAGTGCCAAATGATAAAAGCCCAATGGTATGGATCAATAGAAATATTTTTTTCAGATAAGAAGAAAATCACACAGCTAGGGCAGCTGTGTGTATCATGGACACTGTCTTTGTCTCTGTGGATTACGATCATGGACCGAAGGAGCTCTGATAAGGAAAAGCTTTAGTGTTAGTCACAGAAAATGATGCTGCTTAACTTGCAGTTGAGAGACTAGGCTTCTTTAAGAAATAAATCTTATAAATAATTATTTGGCAAAGATAAAGTATTTGCTTTCTTTAGCCTTAAAGCACTCAACAGACAATAACTATGATTTTAAGGAAAAGAAATTTTTTTTTCCAACTTTATGTCCATACCTACTCTTTGCTTCTCATTAAATTATACCCTTTTCATGGAGGGACACTAGGCACATCACACTGCCTGCCAACATGAAATTGCTCAGGAAGTCATTTATGAGACAGTTCTAGTTCACATGGTAGGTTACTAGAGAAAAGAATCCTTTGCCATATAAGCTATGTGGTGATAATTAGAAAATTTTTCCATTGCATAGTCTGTCACATGGTGGGTTACATGTAATTGCTATTTATTTACTATTGTGGATTGTTTACTAACTACATCATCTACCCAGATGTGCAAATTGCTAAGCCATTTGTACAGAGGAAAATCAATGTCTTAAGTACTTTAACTAAAATAATATTAACAGCTATGTAGAGCGTAAAGGAGAAAAACACATCTTTCCTTCGGATGCTGTAGATCACAGCCAGTGAGCATTATACATTAGCATGGAATTCAGATTCTCAGAGCACAGAATGTATCCATTAACTGCAGCAACTTTATAAATTGAATCACATTAACACAATCTAACTGGCCTTTATAAATGGTCCCAAAGAACTGCAAAAACAGTGAACCTTTTTTGCCACTACTTCTCATGAGCTTAACACTAAAATGAAAGCTAGTATCCACGTAATTAGATATAACCTTATATAAAATTTGTTTCTGATTCCAGTATTGCCTTATTGGAGCAATAAGTGCTATTTTAAAAGACACGAATTTTCATATTTCTGGAGTAAGGTATTTCATTCCTCTCTTTACATGTTAATAGCAAACCCACTACTAAGAGACTAAAATTGCTCCATTAGCTAAAACAACAACGTAACAGTTATCTCTGGGTTCACAGATGTTCTTCTCTTTCCAAAAAGGGACTCACAAGAAACAGCAAGAGTAAAGTGAATCGCAAGCTCGGATATTTGTTTTGAAGTAGACAAAGTGAGAAGAAAAATTTGTTTTTTTTGCTACTTTCTTAAATCTACACGGGTACTTTCTACAGGTGCCCTTTCTTCGGCTATTATTGTGGGCATCTACACAAAAACGAATTTACTCAAAAGTTTTTGGTGTGAAGCTGTAACTGGCAACATTCCTGATCATTTCATGCCTCCTTACCAGAAAGCAGGAAAGGGCTTGAAAATGCACAGAAAACAGAAAATTGCAAACAATAAAATGTGCAACTTACTGCAAACTCAGTTTTGATAACTGAAGAATTTTAAGCAGCTACCACAAGGGACAAATTGCCAGAAAAATTCAAATCGACATCCCATGACTTTCCTTCACTGTCAAAGAAGGGCTGGTAAGAAAGTCAGTGTGTATGTACCACTTTTACCTCAGTAAAAAAGAAAGTCAACAGGCTGCTCTGCTACAACCTGTGATTAGCACACAATGGAGACAGAAGCGAATCACTAGGAATGGACAATTAGCATGTGATGGTTATAATGGGATGTGAAGAGTTCAGTGAACTAAATGACACTTTTGAGCCGAGGTAACTACTCGCAATCATTTCATTACAGTACATTAAAATTAAAAAGCTTACCAACATAGGTTCACAGGTGAGAAACATTCAAATTATCTCTTCTCACCATGCAGAATAAAAATTTACGGTGCTACCAAATATAATTTTGCTTTGTGACATAATTTTATAATTTAGAAATTTCTCAATCTGCAAAAAAGGCAAAGCTATTAAAAAATAAATCTTCCAATCAATTATCATGATTAAAAAAAAACTAAATATATTACAAACATATTTTTGGCCCACAAAAAGAAAACTTCAATAAATACAAAATAGGGCATATCATGATTTCATACAGTCATGTGACATTTCCCCTCCATAATCTCAGGCACGTAGTATCTGCATAATGCCTGCTGATCACCATCATTCCTTTAAAAAGCAGAGAAAGAAAAGCTTTCAAAAGAAGGGACTGGTTAGAATTAGCATGGCATAAAGAGAAATACATAGAGGAAGTAGGAAAATACATCCAAATCTTTACCTATTGAAAAGGAATTAAGATCAAATATTCCCTGACAAATGAATTATTATATCACATCATTAATAGATATGTTCTCTCTACGCATATTTTAAAATATATATATGTAAATTAGACTAGATTCAGGTATAAATAGCCAATGGTATCTCAAGGGACAGTGAAACTTCTCAGCAAAAGCAGAGAACAGATGCCTTTAAAATCTAGTTCCACCCTTGGGCGGAGGGTGGGGGGTTGGGGAGAAGGCAGGTTAAAAAGAAACCTCACATATTCATTTTATAGTCACCAACTTACTAAACTATCCAATATTTTTAACCTTCAAGATCTGTTATTTCAAAAAAATTCCCCAAACTTAAACCTAAATACTTAAAATTATTTTAGAAGTACCAAAGGGTAAGATTTATGTTTAGTTTCCATATTTTGCTTTGAAAGAAAATTTTAAAATGTGTATCCTTCAGATATTACATGTCACTTCACAACTGGTACATTGATTCTACAAGTGTCATTAACATTTTACAAACTTTACCAAAGAATCACTACTGTAAACATGAAAAATCCCAAAGCAAAAGATGGATCAAGGAGTTCACAGATCCCATCTCTTCAAACCAATCTTGAACTATCCTGCTTTTCACATCAAAATATTTTCTTTAATTACATCTTGAGAATATATTCCATGGGAAGAGGGATTAAGAAACAAACGCATGTCTAAAAAGGCAATACAACCAACCACCAGACCTCAGAATCGCAGCAACCCTGCAGTCCCTCTGGCCAAGCTCTTCACCACATCCGCAGGGCACTGATGTGAATTCAGCTTTTTGTGTTCTGGGCTAACTTAGCAGGAAAGGGTTGTGCTACTCACGCCGCCAGACCGCCACCCTTCTCCATTCACCAAAGTCGGCTAACTCAGTGGGAAAGAATGACCAACCTTACTAGGGCTCTGAGATGTGGGAAAGGAGAAGAGACTTCTACTTATTAGGAAATAAGAAAAAAAAAAAAAACACCACCAACAACCATGGGACAGCTGCTTCCTGCCCTGCACAAAAATACACGCATGGATGCACACACACAGACAGGCAGTCAAAAGACTAATTCTTTTTCTTTTTAATTAAACATGATCACAATTAGGAATGGAATCCTGGCCTCATGTGGTGTTTGTTGAGCAGTTGGTGCTAAGTCAGAGGCTTGAATCTGCCTCTGCACACCATTTGCCATCTCTTACACAGAACTCGATGAACAGGCTCATTCTAGCTAGAACCACCTGTGTAAAGACCTGGTACCAGAATGGAAAGCATTGATCTGCAATACTAGGAAATAGTAAAGGGCACTGGTAATCTGAGGTATCTTCCACTTCTAGGACTTGCTGCTGAAAGTCGATTCTATCCAGTCACTGTGCTGAGCCGCTAAGGAAACCATTGGGGGGAGGGTGGACCCGCCAGGAGGGAACGAGCACCAGTGCAAGGAGCACATGTGAACACTGAAGCGAGGTCCACCGCAGGGGAACTTGTTTTAACTGGAAAGGGTAGTTCTCCTCTAGTCCCCGTCTGTTATTTTTAAAATCTTCTTTAGGAAAAAGGGGAGAGGGGGGCGGGTGATAAAGAGGGGAAGGAAGATAGAAAACACCAGGTTCCCCACCTGCCTGCAAACACACAGACACGCTCAGTTAGGGGAGGTGAAGGGCGAGGACGCGTTATTGGTACTTGTAGCTGTGGCACCGGTTACTGTGAAGCCTGTGGGAGGCGCTATCGAGCTGTGGCTGGGCTGCAGGTCCTTGGGAATGCCACTGTGAGAACTCAGCTGGTGGCCGAAGGCTGCGCTGAACTGAGGGAGTTGCTGCTTGGGGGAGGTGGAGGCCAGCAGCTCAGCGGAGGGCCCCATGCCGCTGAAGCTGGTCTGCGGCAACCCCGGCAGCACGCTGGAGCTGCTGGGGGTCACGGTGGCGAAGGCAGGCTGTGTGGTCTCTGAGTTCGAAGTGGTGGGCGGCGTGGAGAGGGACGTGGAGAGAAGGTGCCCGTCGGCGACGAGGAGGTTGCTGAACGGAGAGGGGTCTCCGAGGCTGACGGGGAGATTGCCCCAGTGAGTTCTGGGGTTCACGACCCCTCCGAGTGGCACCTCGAGTGGCGTCGGGAGCAAGTGCGGCGCCATGACGGGCATCTCGGCTGAGAAGGTAGCTGCCATGTTGTCGCCAGAGTAAGATGTCGTGTGGGGAGAGGTGATGTGGTCGCTGTAGGGAGACGGCACGTGCTCGCTGTCGTAATGGCTTCCAGGGGGCGAGGAGTGTGAGTGATCACTGCTGTATTGCTGTCGTGAGGTGATTAGGTCATCTGCCTTGCTCAGCAGCTGGGCAGGATGTGGCCTCTGGGAGGCATGGCTGCCATCATGAAGTCCATGAAACTGTCCTGGGAAGGCTCTCTCCCCAAGGGCACTCTGGCTCATCAGAGTGGCAGAAGTAAGGCCGACGCTGGCGGGGGCAGAGAACTGCCCCTGGATCTGCCCTGCCAGGGGTGTAGGTGGGTTAGACAAGGTAGCCGAACGGAGCAGGCTCTCATCCAGCTCTAGGCTAGAGAAGTTGTCGTGGACTATACGCCCGTTCAGCAGCTCCCCCAGGTCCGTGTTGACCTCTCGGCTCAAGGACGGGATCCCCGACGCGCCCGTCCCCGTGGAGAACACCCCTATTCCTCTGTCTGACAGCTCCTGGACGGGCACACCATCTGACTGGGTGAGCACCCCAATGGTACTCAGGCACTCGAGAGAAGTCACGGCCTGCAAGGCCCGTTCAAGTTCCTCGGCCTCTTCGGTGGTGGGGAGGAGGTCTCCGTTCTTTCCTGGGTGAACAAGAGCTATCGACAAGTCAGCGGGGCTGCCACCATCCTGACCACGAAAACCACACACTGGAACTATCTGTCACGACACTCTACTAAGGACCGGGTTGGAGGGCAAGAGCGACATATGCACAGCAGGACAGGTGAGCCTGAGCCCCATCTTCGGATCACCAACAGCACTCTCAGAGCCACCTCAGCACAGTGTTCAGTGCTCAGGAATCTAAGGATTACCTACTTAAAACCCGGGCTGACTATCTGATTGCAGGCATGTTTTTACCCAAAGTTATACTAAGATGTTAAAAGAGAAAACGTGTCAATCGGTTCACATTTGAGACAAAAGGCTGTGCAGGAGCCCCGTTAGCTCTTCTACTCTTGGGCTGTTGCAGCCGGAGGGACAGCCATGAACCCAGAACACAGAACTCACACATGTATCTCAGCACAAAAGCAAGCGCTCAGCTCACTTCGTTGGTTACCTTTTCCCATGTTTCTGCGTTACTCTCTGCTCCTCCCCTTACACGTCTCCCATTTCTAAGGAATTTTCATAAAATGGAAGCTACACTGATTTCCTTTCCAATATCAAGAAATCTACTGTTAGGAACTGGAGTAATCACTGTAAAAATATCCAGTTTTTAATGGTGAAGGAAACATTCTCAGAGTAGAAAAGATTTCCCTTGAAAGCACTAAACAGTTGGTGGGGTTAAGCAAACTTTGTTGTGGAAAAGTGCACTTCAACTGAAGTACAGGGTGGGGTATCAAAAGAGGACAAGTTCTGAAAAGTTCAATAAACTCAAGTTTAAAACGTCTTTATTCAAATATAAACTAAAGTAGGGGCATTCCCTGGCCGTCCAGTGATTAGGACTCGGCGCTTTCACTGCCATGACCCCTGGTCAAGGAAGTAAGATCCCACATGCCATGCAATGTAGTCAGAAAGAAAAGGTTAGAAAATAAATAAACTAAAATTACTGATTTTGGGCTTCCCTTGTGGCTCAGTTGCAATGCAAGAGACCCGGGTTCAATCCCTGGGTCAGAAAGATCCCTTGAAGAAGGGAATGGCAATACACTTCAGTGTTCTTGCCTGGAGAATTCCATGGACAGAGAAGCCTGGTGGGCTACATTCCAGGGGGCTGCAAGAGTTGGACTCAATTTAGCGACTAAACCACCACCACCAACACCACTGCTCATTTTAAAGGAATAACGTTATAAGCCTAGCTATCAAACCTACTGATTTACTAAGCCTATATTATCATTAAAAAAAAAAATGTATACTTTCTAAAGAGACTAAAACAGCTTCAGCACTTTATATTTTCTGTCCACATTACATGTGAGGAGGAATACTTTGGACACATTTAAAAAAAACTATTTCCCTTTTTAAAAAAATTCATTTGAAAAACCAGTTTACTTGAATCAAAATACTGACCGTACGTACCTTCAAAAAAATCGAAATCTTGTAAGTCATCAGGTAGCCGCGGAAGGACGTCAGAGAAGTCCTCCTGGTTCAATTCCAAGTCGTTTGGAATGTCGGTGATCTCATTGGCAATGTCATCCGGCAACTCATCAGCGCTCAGCTCCGGTGTGGACGGGCTCCTGGGGAAGATGACACGGTTGGCCCACCACTCCCACTTTACCTTCACACCAAGTCACCGGAAGCAGAAATGGAAGATCCTAACTCAAAATAATCTCCTCGCCTACTTTAAGATCTGAAACCGGAACGGCAGACCTCACCATATGCAGTCACATATTTCTGCAACTTTTCACCCATGTATTAAGAAAAGGAAACCATTTTGAGATACTATTTTTACTGCAAATTAGTAGAATGAAGTGCAATTTGGCGTACTAGTAGAACGAATTACAATCTGGTCTATCAAGTGTGTCTTACTACTTTCTGGTAGAATTTTAAATCTGGTCAAAATAATTTTTAAAAAAAGATGAAAGAGATAAAATTGAAATTTGCAGCTGAAACAGAGGCATCATTCATTGGGTCAAAATGCTTACCCCTGTCAAAATTAATAATGCATCACATTTCTGATGGGATGTTTCTGTTGGAACATATATGCAATTTCTGTTGAAACAGAAAAATCTGAGAATAGACAATTAAGCTCCCCAAATCAGCATCTGCTCTCTTGGGTTTTAATCAAAAACTTTACTTCCGATCTAAACACATCAGGTATCTGATAAAAATGCTACTGGAAACTACAGAGTCTAGGCTGATACACCACAGGGCGCCTTTAGCCTACTTCCAACAGGAAAGGAAGCCGACGTTCTGAGAACAACCAGAACATGTGAAGGAGACCTGAGCCCTGGCGCAGTCACTGACCGCATGTGGGAGGCCGCCACTGGCAGTGAGACGCTGGTGGGCATGCTGAGGTTCCCCTGGGGCACTGCAGGGGGGATGGGCTTCTGGGGTCGACGAGGTCCACGCCTTCTCTTCTTCTTGTGTTTTTTGGTAAGTGCAGGAGGCTTGGTTTTTTTCCTGGGTTTCCTCTGCTGCTGGTGCTGAACTTTACGGGAGCTATCTCCTCTCAAGAAATTATCCTTTGGAAGGAATAAACAGGTATTTTTAAACTCCGATTATTTGGGAAAAAGCAAACCACTATCTGAAAAACATATTTATATCTCTTATTATTTTATACAGTGCCCCAAACTATGTATAACAATAATTAAATGAATAAGAAATTCATTTGAAAATTTAATTCACATCAATTCAATATATACATAAAGCTCATTCCACACTTTGTCACAGGCATTGTCACAGGTGCTGTAGTATAAAAGAACTGAATAAAACTTGATTTGCACTCCAAGGGAACTTACTTGGTATCCCATGGGAAAAACATGAATACGAGTATACGTAAATACTATAGGAAAAACTGAGTGATGATGATGTAAATACCGTCTAAGGGTATGCAAATGGAAAAGCCATTATCTGTAGTTATGTGGGATTAAAGGATAAACAGGACTTTCAGTTGTTGGGATAAGGGGGAAGATCACTCTAAGCTAAAGGAAATAGCTAGCACAAATGAGACAAAAAGGACAGCAGACAACTGGGTACAGACTGTTGCTTGGGGATATGCTGGAGGGTCAGATATAAAAGTCAGTTGTAAGGAGGGTCTGGTGCCAGCTCCTGTGTGACTTATGACTCTAATACTCTGCTCAGGATTTTAAACTTCATTTTATAGGCAACGGGGAATGATTTTTGATGACAGCAGACAGTTTTAAAGGATTAACTGGACTTCCCTGATGGTACAGTGGATAAAAATCCGCCTGCCAATTCAGGAGACATTGGTTCGATCCCTGGTCTGGGAACATCCCACATGCTGCGGAGCACAACTAAGCCTGTGAGCCACAACTACCAACCTGCGTTCCAGAACCTTCAAGCTGCAACTACTGAATCCCGTGTGTTAGAGGCTGTGTGCCACAACAAGAGTGTAGCCCCTGCTCTGTACAGCAAGAGAAAGACTGTGTGCAGCACCGAAGACTCAGCGCAGCCAAGAAATGACAGGAGTAATAATAAAAGGATTAACTATCCTGGTAGTAGCAACGTAAATGAATAAAGAGAAGAGGCAAGTGAGTGAAGGCAAAAATTCCACTCAGAGGGCGATTTCAACAGATATTAGAAGATAAACAGCGGAGGGCAAAGTGAGCAAGAACAGAAAAGCAAGGGCTTGCTGAGAGAGAATCCTCACAATATGACAGCTGCGTAGAAGTGGTGAGGATGAGGGGAAGATAGAACTCTCAAGTGTTTCTAGAGTTTCTAGTTAAGGTGATTGTTAGGTGAGGATGCTGTTCGTGGGATACAGAACACAGCAGAATAAACAGAATCAGAGTTGAGGAATTCAGCTGGGCTCACAGATAGTTTGAGGTGTGAAGATGGCCAGGAGTGGCAGGAGAAAATTGAATCTGGTGCACAGCAGGCAAGAAAGGGATGGAGGTGTAGACTCGGGAGTTGCGACACAGTGGAAGTCCTTCAGATAATTCACATGGACCAGGGTGACAAGGTAAAGAGAGAAGACAATGGGGACACAGCTTTATAAAACTGCTGCAGTTAAGTGAGGAGGGAAAGGAAGAAGAACCAGCAAGAACAAGAAACTTGCAATATAACTAGCTTTCTTCAGTTAGTACCCTTAAACCTGAATACGGTATTTCATCAATTCCCAGATGCACATTTTACTATCTCTGCAGTTGGGGAGCATTTTACAAGAATGGCATATCATTATCTCTGGCAGCCAGGTGATGGTCATTATAGCTGGTGCTGCCTACATGTTCAAAGTTGGTAATAGCTCTCTGTACTCTTCCTTGTTTGAACTGAGGTTTGCGCACTGCTGGTTTTACATGTAGAGGAAAAACATGGGTATGCAGAAAGGCAAAAAAGAAGCAGGGTAGAAAATTGTTATTAGCGAAGCAAATATTTATTGTTAAAGAACCGACCACAATCCCCACCTCTACCTTTTTTTTTTTTTTTTTGCAAAGCAACAACCAAATGAGAAAGGAAAATAATCACGAAGAGAACAAAGTTGTGTTATATACAAAGCAGATGTTATATACTGCCTTTCACACATCAAGAATTAGCTGAAATCAGGAGTGAAATAGAAGATAAAAATATTTATGTCTGTCTAAGTCTAAAAAAGCTATTTTGATAAGTATAAAATAAAAAATTTTAAGTGATAAGCAATGCACTGTGCAACATTTTTTCCATCTTGGTGGTATATAAAATAACTGTGGTTTCTATGACTGATGTCACCTTTGAGTTGATAAGTTCAGTAATAACTTTTATAACCAAATACATTAAAAGATCTGAAGACTAATAAGTATCAGTAGCAACAAACATACTCAAAGCAAGAAAGAATAAAATTAAGCATAAATCCAAGAAATCTAAAAGAACTCTAATCCCAGCCAAACACCTGAATCCAACACAATTACAAACTCAAAAGTCACAAACAAATTTAGAAAACAACAGAAGACAGGCTGCTTTCCAGCCTCTGTAATTCCTTTTGGTTCAACACTTGATGTCTACATTTTTTATGCCCACTATGCAGTGAATAAGCAGCTGCCAGTCCCCACCAGGAGCTGGCATGCACTCCAGGATCTCTCTCTAGGACCAGTGGGGGTCTTAAATATGAGGAAGTCAGAGAGCTCTAGTTAAAAATATACAAGCCCTACTAGTTCTGGTTCTAGGCTTCTTCCTTACTCTTCCAAGCTTATGCTGTGTATCCTGGCAACACACCACACAGAACCGCCCGTGACCGAGGCCCCACCTGGCTCTTTCTATCCCCTTACTCGGCTCCTCCAGAAAGCCTGTGAGCACCTGTGTCCTGGAGGCATTCCTAAAGCCAACTGCTCCTTCACCTACGCTATTTACGAACACTGTTCACTAGTGTTCACAGTCGGAACAGCGTTCTCGACTGTCCCCTTCTATGAATATTTCTCTGCAGGACAACAACCCATTTAGTACCTTACCTTCTGTTCTACAAGCTCCTCCCTGTTGAATACAATGTTCTGTCTGCCAGCCTGGACCTCGTATAGCTTGAGTCTCTTCTACCAAATGGCTGTCCCATCCAGTGGCTGAGTCTAGTTCAGAATCTCCCCCCACCCCACAAGCCATGTGCCTACCAATAATTTATTGAACAATTACTTATCTTTGCTCTAAGCAGTGCAGATACAGCAATAAACAAACAACATTCCTGCCTTTGTGAAGTTTACATTCTAGTAGGGGGATTCAGAAAATAAACGAGTTAATAAATAACATTAGATAAATACAAATGTTAGGAAGGAAAATAGGTAGGGTACGAAGATTCCCTGGTGGCCCAATGGTAAAGAACTTGCCTGCCAATGCAGGAGACTTGGGTTTGATCCCTGGTTTGAGAGAGGATCCCCTGGTGAAGGAAATGGCAATCCACACCAGTATTCTTGCCTGGGCTTCCCTGATAGCTCAGTTGGTAAAAAAATCAGCCTGCAATGCAGGAGACCCCGGTTCAATTCCTGGGTCAGGAAGATTCCCTGGAGAAAGGATACACTACCCACTCCAATATTCTTGGGCTTCCCCTATGACTCAGCTGGTAAAGAATCCACCTGCAATGCGGGAGACCTGTGTTCAATCCCTGGATTGGGAAGGATCCCTGGAGAAGGGAAAGGCTACCCACTCCAGTATTCTGGCCTGGAGAATGAAATGAAGGAGTGAGACATGGAGAATTTGGGAAAAGAACATTCCAGGAAAAGACAAAAACAAGTACAAAGCCCCTGAGATGGGAGCATGCTGTGCTGTGCTGAGTTGCTCAGTCATGTCTGACTTTTTGCAACCACCATGGACTGTAGCCCACCAGCCTCCTTTGCCATGGGGATTCTCCAGGCAAGAATACTGGAGTGGGTTGCCATGCCCTCCTCAAGATGGAAGCATACGTAAAGTGTTTAAGAAAGAGCAAGAAGGCCAGTGTTGCCAGAGCTCTGGAGGTGAGGAGAGGGTGTAAGATGAAGCTGAGAGGTTGCTAGGGCCAGATGAGGAAGTACCTCATAGGCACGATTAAGAGTTTTGAACTGGATTCTAGAGGCGATGTGAAGCCAATGGAAGGTTTTGAGCAGGGAACTAAAACGGTCAGATCTACATTCTGAAAGCCCTGCTCTAAATGCTACAGACTGAACGATTCCATTTACAAGACAATGGAAAATGTAAATAGAGACAAAAGCAGATCAGTGGGGATAAAAAAAAGGCTGACTACAAAGGGTAGCACTGGAGACTTTGGCTGGGGGTGATGAACTATTGTGTATCTTGATTACAGTGGTGTTTATGCAACTGTATGCACTGTCAAAATTCACCAGAACTATATATTGAAAAGAGAGAACTTTATTATATGTAATTCATAGACAGTGGGACCCATGTACATGGTCTACACTGGCTGATATGCAAGGAACACATGTGGGGGCAGGAGGCATGGCACGTGGAAGGGAGCCTAATTAGGAGACTATTACGATAATGTAGGGAAAGATGATGGCATGTAGTTGGAAAGTAGAGCCATGAGATTAGCATGGTTTTTACCATCGAGAGTGTCTCACTGGTGGACTGATGGAATACAAGTGTTGCTATACTCTCTCATGTAACTTTTCACTTAAAAATAGCTTAAACTAGTGTCAGATTCTGTAACTGCCTCCAGAGAGAAAACCATTTGTATCACTGTAAAAACTTTGCATTGAAAATACCTTTTGAAAACCTGATTAATATAATTTTATTTACACTATATTTTTATTGTATAAAATAAATATTATTTTATGACTAAGTTTATTACACTAATTCAACCTTATGTTTGCCCAGCTGAATTTGTCTAAGTAGAATATTTAACCACCTGAAAAGAATAAACTGCTTTCAGTTTCTTTAGAAGCATTCACATAATTGTTATACTGATCAACTCACTGAATCAATAAAGCAGATCCTGAAGTACAGACCCCCGCTATTTAACAATATTTTCCTAGTCTTATTAGAAGTATGCTAGAGTGGTGATTATTTACTTCAGTGGTTAGAAAGCTACAGAGCCCATGTTACCAAGGGTCCATGAGACCACCAATGAAGGTCCTGAAAAGTGGTTCAAAAAACATATGGAAGTCATTCTTTAACAATGATAAAGCCTCAATGAGCTAACAAAAATGTCTTTATTTTAAATGTTAAAATAATTACTCAACATCTGTATGTGTAGTTTAGTATACAACACTTCAAAATATATGGTCAATAAAGGAAATCTAAAAAACAAAAGATGTTCAGGAAGAAGCAGCCAGTAAACTTAATACATGGCAACTGAGGTCTAAGAAGCATGAGATCTAAAAAATCCTTGATATGCACTTATCTAGTGGCCATGCCAGGACCACGGTGTTACAACAGGTCCTGTCCAGTGGCCACTGGACCCTGAAGCAGCCCGGCAGACTGAAATACGCTCATAGCAAGTAAGAGCGTCTCACTCAGTTTTTCAGCACACAGGTACCTGGCACTTAGCAAACAGCAGGACTCAGGAGTAGGCACATGGGGAACTGCCTTTATCTTAAGTGATTATATAATTCAGACAGCTCACTGATTCAGACTTGTCTCTCCTCTCAATTATTCTGCATTACTTAGGGCTTATGCTACCAGCACTAACTAAAGCAATAATTAAATTCAATGGAATTATAATAGGGTTTGGCTTTTGGCTGAAATTTCACCAGATAAGCAAGACATTCACAGAGTTATTTATACACAAGTAAAGCAAAAACCTAGAGAAATGAGGCAAAGAAAGATCTTGGAAAATCTGCCTAAGTATAAGAAAATGTATCTTAAGAAGAAGTATAGACTATATAGATAATAAGCAAAATGACCATATCTAAGTAACTAAATATTTTCTAGTTTTTTTTGTAATGAGGGTATAAAATTCATCAATAGCTTATTGCCAACATTTTGTTTTAGTAAATAGAACAGATTATAAAATATGAGGTACTAAAAGAGCTTCACAAAACTTGTTTCAGTGATATATACACACACATAGCTTGTACCAAGTCACGAAACATTTCCTACTGTGGATAGCTATCAAACCATTTAAAGCCTCTGACTATTATATACAGGATGGATAAACAAGAAGGTCCTATTGTATAGCATAAGGAACCATATTCAATATCTCATGGCAAACCATAATGGAAAAGAAAATGAAAAAGAATGTATATACATGTATAACTGAGTCACTTTAGAGAAGAAAAAAATCAACACATCATCGTAAGTCAAATATATTTCAATAAAATTTTAAAAATACAAATATAAAAAAAAACTTTGAAAGCCTCTATTGCAGAAAATAAAATCTGAACTTACCATTTTTTTGGCATGTTCTTCACACAGAGGTGTCTGGTGTGTAATGTCAAAAACGGGCACAGAACACTGCTGTCCATCTGCGAACTTGGCTGTGCAACTTGAGAAGAGTTGCTGAGAGCGGTTTAAGAGGATATCTGGGGTATTTTTAAGTTAAGAATAAAATACACTGAAACAATTTAATTTTTCAATTTCTATATAAAATTTATTTTTTTAGTTACTTATCCTTAGTTATCATAAATTTTGTATTTTACAAAAGCTAAAGAACCAATCCAATTACTATTATAGAAAATGGCAACAGTTGAATTTATCATCTGCAATTATCAGAAGAGACTTCTAAAGGAGTCCGTTTTGCCAATGAGCTCTTAACATGAGTCTCCCTTATGGCCATTCTGATTTCTGTTATTTAGAGAAGCAGGGTCGTTTCCTTTCTAACACACTAACTCCTAAAAGTTCCACTATGATGGTTTAAACAACAATAAAACTTCTTTTAAGGAAAATTTCTACCTAAGATACTAATCAAGAATAAACAGTTAAAGATATAATTACCAAAAAACTCACCTATCCATATTTGAATTTTTCATTTCACATCTCCAATACCAAACTCAAACTTCTAACTTATGAAAAATTACTTTTAAATTAAAACATCATTTTTAAGCAGATACTTTTAGCCAGTAACTACATTTCCACAGATTTACTTTATATATATTAAGGGAATATCTTTCATTTATTCTTTTATGCTTTTACAATTAAGCATACAGGAAAAAAGCCTTTACTCCATAGACACTGTTGCTGAAAAAGCTGTGAAAATACAATACCAAGAAGAGAAAAGAAGGAAAAAAATCAGAAAGATAGTAAAGAAAAGTAATTGCTACTATATTTTTTAAAATGCTACTCAACTTTAAATGTTTAATGGAAGTGAAAGTAATAAGATTTCATAATCACCCTGAAGTTCCTTAACATCGGTTTTCCTCATGTATATTCTGTCTTATGATATCTTCTTTCCTAGTTGGTGATGTTTATTATCTTTCATACATTTCAGATCAGCAATGTACTCAATAAAAATAGGAAATTAATCCCATAGTAAAAAAAAAAAAAGTCTGTACAACTGTATAACTTTCTTGGAGGACTAAAGACAGTTTTTGAATAATGGGATTTTATTTTCCTGTCAATGGGTGTCATGGTTATCTCTTACAAACTACCTAGAACTACTGGACCAGAATCCTATTTTTTAAAAATTTTATTTAAATGATAGCCACTGGAAGAACCTACTACTTGCTGTCCATTTTGCTCATTTTTATATAATTGTTGAATACAGAATTATAATAACATAAGCAGAAAAACTAAGACCATGGCATCTGGTCCCACCACTTCATGGCAAATAGATGGGGAAACAGTGGAAACAGTGGCTGACTTTATTATTTTGGGCTCCAAAATCACTGCAGATGGTGATTGCAGCAATGAAATTAAAAAATGCTTACTCCTTGGAAGGAAAGTTATGACAAAGCTAGACAGCTTATTAAAAAGCAGAGACATTACTTTGTCAACAAAGGTCTGTTGAGTCAAGGCTATGGTTTTTCTAGTAGTCATGTATGGATGTGAGAGTTGGACTATAAAAAAAGCTGAGCGCCAAAGAATTGAAGCTTTTGAACTGTGGTGTTGGAGAAGACTCCTGAGAGTCCCTTGGATTGCAAGCAGATCCAACCAGAGCTGCAGCTTCCATCTCCTTCAACGTGGTCCGACTTATGCTAAGGAATGAAAAACATAATAAAAATTTTTTAAAATGCTTTAAGAATCTAGGGCAATTATTCAAATAATGTTACTACTTTATAACATTCACACTTTTTTTTTTTAACATTCACACTTTTAACTACCTAGATTCATTAGTTAATATGCAAGTATGAATAACAATGACCAGTTCTAATATTTCCCCAACTGACAAAACAAATAATTACATTATAATTTGGCCTCAGCTATGTCTATCTATTTTGGGGTTTTGTTTGGGTTTTCTAAAAGTGATATTTTGGTTTCTTTTACTTCACAAAGAAGCAGTAGAAAGTAGTGATGAAGACCATGAGACTAGATAAGACAGACCTGGTTCTGAATTTCGGCTCTACCTCTTACTAGCTCTGTGATCTTGGGCAAGTTACTGAGCCTTGCTTAAGTCTCAACTTCCTCACCTGTGGAGTGAAGATAAGAGTCCTATAGCTGAGAGGCAAGCATCAAAAGATACAACACATCTCAAACACCACAAACAGTATAGAGTATGGTACATAGTAAAGAATCAATGGTTGTCAGTCACCACTATTATCAACATCATCATTGTTAGATTTTGGCCTCAGAAAGCTTCTAAACAATACATCTGCAAAATAATGAACCTAATACATGAGGAATGGGATGCAGAACAGAGAGCTAAGCAATGAAGAATCTCCTTTCCACCCCTCTCAATTTGCCAGTTTCCACTCGCTCTACTAATTAATATGTGTTCATTTTATTAGTTTGTAATCTTTCCATAGTTTTATACAAACATTAAATTTTTGAAAAAATTTTAATTCTTGGAAGTATAAAAACTATGCTTTCTATGTAACTTTATCAAATGTCATAAACTATTAGGCCTTTACACATGCCTGAGTATGGAAAAAGAATCTATTTGGTGCACTGAGTTACAAGTCTAGAATCAAAAATTGAAAAATCTTTTGGATTGTTTCTAACATCCTTCTGAGGATTTAAGTGAGATGATTTATGTTAATTAGAAAAGGTCATAAAGAATCTGTTACATATAATATTTCTATTACAACTGTAACTTCCATATAAATAGTGAATGCAAAAAGGTGCTGCCTTAGAAGCTGCTTTCATGAAGAGTTTTGCTAGGTTTGTCAGGATCACGAGTGAGGAAGTAGGTCATTAAGCTCACAATTTCCAAAAATTGAAGCTTTACTATTTTGGCAGCTAAGCCCAATTTCTCTTGGTCTAGATTTAAATAGAGGGTAGCTCTCTAATTTGAATGGATAAATTTCATTGAACTCTTTAGTAATTTACTTAACCATCTGCCAGGCCTAGTGTTACAACATAGCCCTCACTTACTTTATCCTAAACTTCAAAGTAAACCATTGGTTTCAATTTTAGAATCATCATTATGTTCTAACTCACCAATCTATCTCTTAAAATAAACCCGAAGTCAGGATTTCAATATCCCCATGGAGAATAATCCCAACGAAACAAAGGTTTTGATGCTGTTAATATGAAAATATTTACTGTGGGCTTCCAGTCTGTATGCTCTACTGGATCCCCTGTTTAAAAAGAAGATTCCACACAACACTCTCTCTGCAGAACTGTGGGCTATAAGATATTGAGACTCAGGTTTATAAATTTTAAGCTATTTCAATGGTTTATTCTACATGCTCATCCATAAATGACAAAAGTTACTAAATAAAAGAATATTTTAAGGTTGTTTAGTTTATATCTAAACCATATTTTAAGAATACATATTGGAAGGTAGCCATTATAGTTTCAATTTCTAAAATATTTAACAGCAACTTTTTAAAGGTTTTCTGTGGAACTAGGCCTCTGATAACAAAAAATATTAAATACAGAGGAAGTTAGTCAACTGAGTTGATTTTTGCAGACCTTATAGGTAATGTAAAGGAGTAAGGAACTAATCACCAACGAATGATTATGGCACAGTGGCATATGATTATCAGCAATGCAGTGAGCAATAAAACACTTAATTAATCATGGGGGACATAAGCAAATGATATCACATAAATTTGAGATCTGTAATTGAGTTCATCTTGGTGTCTGTCTTGTAACACTTGGTTATCATGAAATTTTCTGAAAAACATCACTAAAAGTGGTTTGGGAGATGATAAGAGGGGGTTGACTCTGCCAGTTAAAAATCATAGGCAAGTACAGTTTCCATACAGATAGCAAATTGTCCCAAACTCACAATATAGCCTCTTTATATGTCACATCTTTGACAGAGCTGTAACAATATATGAGAACCAATATATACAATGAGCTACATCTAGATTGCTTCATGCTGGACAAAATTAAAATTTCTACTGAAATTATACACTTTAGCATTATATCATATAAATGTTAGATATCTTTAAAACTTACATCAAAATGAGTGAGTTCTTTTAACAAATAGAAAACAGACCCTCACTTGTTCAATTCTATTCATTCATTCATCAACACTGGAGATTAAAAACAAAATATACATTGTCCCTGCCCGCATAGAAACTACTGTCTAGTATGACAGAGAGACATTAATATAAGCATAAAATTCTACAATGAAGCAGAGTACAGAGCACAAAAGCGTATGTATCAGGATACAGTCAGCGGACTCTGGGAATGTTTCTCTGAGAAAGACAAGTCTCTGACCATGGAAGAAGTAAGTTAAGCCCTAAATACCTTCTAGTACAGACACCACCTCCATGACAGGAGATTGAGAGTTCTAAAAGTGAGAGGAAATACTGCAGGCTGCAGTCACTATTGGAGGTATATCAGATATACATACATAGTTTCAAACTACTCCAAATATGCCAAGCAGAAAATTCTTAAGGGCATATTATTTTTTGAGATACTCTACTGGAAAATAGATTACTTTGTTAAAGCAAATATAATGAAAATCAAAATACACAAAATGAAAATGAAATTTCAAATATTACAGTATAGTTATGTAAGGAATATATCTATCTATCTATATATATATATATATATATATATATATCAATATATGTATCAATGTATCAATAGCTACAAAGCAAAGGTTAATTTTTAGTTTTTGGCTTGTTTTAAACCCTTTTTCCATTAAATGACTTATGATCATCCTTGAAAAATTAAAATATACAAACTACAAATTTTTTAAAACTTTATTAATAATCTTGAGATAATACTGGTAATATTTAGGTATATAAACCCCGAAATGTTTTACATATATAATGTTTATTTGCACACACACACACACACACACAAACCTTATAGGTAATGTAAAGGAGTAAGGAACTAATCACCAACGAATGATTATGGCACAGTGGCATATGATTATCAGCAATGCAGTGAGCAATAAAACACTTAATTAATCATGGGGGACATAAGCAAATGATATCACATAAATTTGAGATCTGTAATTGAGTTCATCTTGGTGTCTGTCTTGTAACACTTGGTTATCATGAAATTTTCTGAAAAACATCACTAAAAGTGGTTTGGGAGATGATAAGAGGGGGTTGACTCTGCCAGTTAAAAATCATAGGCAAGTACAGTTTCCATACAGATAGCAAATTGTCCCAAACTCACAGTATAGCCTCTTTATATGTCACATCTTTGACAGAGCTGTAACAATATATGAGACCCAATATATACAATGAGCTACATCTAGATTGCTTCATGCTGGACAAAATTTAAATTTCTACTGAAATTATACACTTTAGCATTATATCATATAAATGTTAGATATCTTTAAAACTTACATCAAAATGAGTGAGTTCTTTTAACAAATAGAAAACAGACCCTCACTTGTTCAATTCTATTCATTCATTCATCAACACTGGAGATTAAAAACAAAATATACATTGTCCCTGCCCGCATAGAAACTACTGTCTAGTATGACAGAGAGACATTAATATAAGCATAAAATTCCACAATGAAGCAGAGTACAGAGCACAAAAGCGTATGTATCAGGATATAGTCAGCGGACTCTGGGAATGTTTCTCTGAGAAAGACAAGTCTCTGACCATGGAAGAAGTAAGTTAAGCCCTAAATACCTTCTAGTACAGACACCACCTCCATGACAGGAGATTGAGAGTTCTAAAAGTGAGAGGAAATACTGCAGGCTGCAGTCACTATTGGAGGTATATCAGATATACATATATAGTTTCAAACTACTCCAAATATGCCAAGCAGAAAATTCTTAAGGGCATATTATTTTTTGAGATACTCTACTGGAAAATAGATTACTTTGTTAAAGCAAATATAATGAAAATCAAAATACACAAAATGAAAATGAAATTTCAAATATTACAGTATAGTTATGTAAGGAATATATCTATATATATATCAATATATGTATCAATGTATCAATAGCTACAAAGCAAAGGTTAATTTTTAGTTTTTGGCTTGTTTTAAACCCTTTTTCCATCAAATGACTTATGATCATCCTTGAAAAATTAAAATATACAAACTACAAATTTTTTAAAACTTTATCAATAATCTTGAGATAATACTGGTAATATTTAGGTATATAAACCCCGAAATGTTTTACATATATAATGTTTATTTGCACACACACACACACACACACAGAGAAAAATACTAGAAGGAAACAGAATAAAAATATTCATAGTGCTCATTCTGTTTTGTGAATGGTGATATTATGGAGATATTCTGCTATTTTCCATATTTTTCAAACTTTCACAATAAGCAAATATCTTCATTATAAACAGAAGGGATTTTTTTCCCCCCAAAGAAATCCAAAGTAATTAGACATTCTGAATATGATATTTGGGATAATGTATATATTACCAGAAAATATAATGGAAATGCTTATATAAGAAAATGCTTATATAAGTCAAAAACATAAAATACCACTTTGGTAGTTAAAAAAAAACTATGACTTTTACAAGAAATTACTTAACAAGAAATTTTTTAAGCATTGCATTTTTTTAAAGACAGGTTGCATTCTCAAATTCTCTACTAAATAAATTCTAATCGAACTCCAGCAAAATTCTAGTAATACTTTCTTTCTTTACAGTCAGCTGGTGGCAGGATTATTTTGCCATCGCTGTAGAGCTTTGAGCAACAAAACCAAAATACAGTGCTTAAGTACTTCAGGATAATATGCCCACCACTCTCTGTGTCCTGACTATCCTCTCAGAAACTAGAGAAAACAGACAAGGTGAGTTCTTAGAAACAGGCGGCTGTGCGGAGCTCTGACCTGGCTCGACTGCACGTAGCTCTCTGCAGTTCCTGGATCAGCTGGCCAGTACACTCTGGTTCTCGACTGGCCGCCTGCAGCAAGGCCTTCCTGAACGTGTGCCGGCATTTCTTTTGACGAGAGTCTGCCCGCTCCAGGCGGCAGAGGTGCTTATATTTCTGCTGAAAGTAAGTGCAAAGTTGGGTCACCCTGGAGCTCCTACTCTCCGTATCATCATCATCCAACCTAGAAAGTGCAAGAAGAGAAGCAAAAAAACTTGATTACATGGGAGGTGCATTTTAGAAAAGGGAAAAGCAGGTTGAGGAAAGGGGGCAGGATGTACAGGGCCGAAACTGGTGGCTCATGAACACACAGGATGAAACGAGAGGAACAGAATTTCAGCAGAGCAGCTGAAAATGAGTACAGTGTTTTAACACTAAGTGGGCAGTAGAGACAATCCAATGCTCTAAGAGGCTTAAACTTCTTAGTCTGTCATAATTAGGACATTTCATGCATCAGTGTCTTCTCAATTTTAAGTGAAGAGGTATCTGCGGGAAGAAAATAATTTCTTTACCTCTATTTACTAAAAAGTCTGAATAAATGACATGAAGGTTATGATGAAACACTCAGCATAATTTCATTAAAGATAGGTCGTACCAGAAATGGAGCAGTGAATACATCTAAGAGCTGCCCTTTCAGATGCACTGGTTTTTAACCACCTTCTTTTGCTAAGCACTAAAATAATTTTGATTGCAGGGATCACAATCATTCTACAGCATTTGTTCAAACTAAGGAAATATCCTAAACAACATTTCACATCCTAGAGAATTACAGAGGCTTTTCTGTCTTTGGCTTCCCTAGGTGGTGCAGTGGTAAAGAATCCGCTTGCAAATGCAGGAGACGCCAGTGATGTGGGTTCGATCCCTGGGTCAGGAATATCCCCTGGAGGATATTCCAGGGGATATTCTTGTATTCTTGCCTGGAAAATCCCATGGACAGAGGAGTCTGGTGGGCTAGAGTCCATGGGGTTGCAAAGACTCAGACCCAACTGAGCGACTGAGCACTTTTTGTCTTTATGCTAATATTGACTGACCGGTGGCCCTGGCTGGAAGACCATGTTGAAAAGGATGCTGAGAGTACATCAGGCTCAAAAAGAAACAGTATGGTGGTTAGTTAGCAATGTCTACCACCAGGGAAGTTAACAAAGTCATTTTCCTAGGGAACAAATGTGACCTCATTCTTTTTTTTTTTTTTTTTAACTATTAGGAATAATGCACGTAAGACTGGAAAACCAACCTGTCTTATATATTACCTTCCTTCTCTTATATCATAACATAAACAACACACGTGTGACACTCCAAACAATATATAGTATCTGACTAACTTGCGGTAAATCCTGCTCGGTTTCTCTTCTCTTCTTGAGTGGTATCACCCCTCTTTCCTTCAAAATAGCTTATAACCAGCTACTCTGTAAACTTCTGTTTAGTATATGTCCTAAGTCACGTTTTCTTCAGCATAGTTTTTACTACAGATATACCAACTGAAGGATCTCACTTCAACCTTTTCCTCTATTTGACATTCAACATTTGCTCTATGTCTGTCATGCTTTATGAAAAGCTAGGAGCTATTTAAAATTTCAATTTCCCAAGACCTACCCTAGATATGCGTGCATGTGTGCTAAGTTACTGCAGTCATGTCCAGTTCTCTGCATCCCTATGGACCGTAACCCGCCAGGCTCCTCTCTCCATCCATGGGGTTCTCCGGGCAAGAATACTGGAGTGGGTTGCTATGCCCTCCTTCAGGGAATCTTCTGGACCGAAGGATTAAACCCATGTCTCTCATGTCTCCTGCACTGGCAGGCGGGTTCTTTATCACTAGCGCCACCTGGGAAACCCACCCTAGATCTACTGACCCAGAACTTCCATGGGATAGGACGCAGGAATCTTTTAATTGCTCCCTAGTTCTGGCAGGGCCAGGAAACGCTGTTACTAGGTTTAATATGAGATAGTAACAACAAGTAACATAGGAGAGATACAGATAAAATGCCTTTAACGTCTACTGAAAAGACTCCTGGATGAAAGGCTCTGTAGAGTAAATGACAACAGAATGGAACCTTGAAGAAAAGGTGGAATCTGAAGATGAGAAAAGAAAGGGATCTCAGAAGGATAAAGCAGTAAGCCAAGATACAGAGATGGACAGGATGGGGAACAGCAAGGACTGAAGAGCTTAGGTGGGCTAAGGAGTGGGGTATGCAGAGTACTGACGGCTAAGGCCAAACATAAAGGCCAGATTAAAGAATTTAACCTTGATTCTATAGGCAATGAAGAACCCTGTAGATGATTAAGAATACAGGTAACAATAACGGAGCTGTGCATGAGAAAGATTACACATGGGCGGATATAAACGGGAGAAAGAGAAAGAAGGAAAGAGTAATGAAGAAGTTACTACAAAACCCCAGATAAGGGCTTCCCTGGTGGCTCAGTGGTAAAGAATCCGACTGCTAATGCAGGGGACATGGATGTGATCCCTGGTCCAGGAAGACCCCACCTGCCTCCGAGCAACTAAGCTTGTGCACCACAACTACTGAGCCTGTGCTCCAGGGCCCACGAACTGCAGCTGCTAAGCAAACGTACCACAACTACTGAACCGGCGCACGACAACCTACAACAGAAGCCTGTGCAATGAAGAGCGGCGCCTGCCCACCACGAGAGAAAAGCCCTAGCAGCAACAAAGACTCAGCACAGCCAATAAACAAACAAACAAACAATTCCAGGTAAGAAATAACAGACCCCATACCAAGATGGCAGCAGCAGGACTGGAGAACATGAGAGATCATCTGCATGTATTAAAGATTTGTCAGCTGGGCAGGGAAGAAGGAAGGGACAATTATCACCCAGCAGGCCCACTGGCAAAGACCAGGAAATAGCAGCGAGAGAAAATTTGGGAAATAAATTCCATAAAAATTAGGAAATTAATTCCATAGTGCATGCATACATGCACAGTCAAGTCCGTCTCTTTGCAGCCCTACAGACTACAGCCCACCAGGCTCCTCTGTCCATGGCAAGATTACTGGAGGGCTTCCCAGAGTTAATGGTAAAGAATCCTCCTGCCAATGCAGGAGACATAAGAGACTCAGGTTCGATCCCTGGGTTGGGGAGATCCCTTGGAGGAGGGCGTTGCAACCAACAAGATTCTCCAGTATTCTTGCCTGGAGAATCCCATGGACAGAGGAGCCTGGTGGGCTATATATAGTTCATAGGATCGCAGAGTCAGACACGACTGAAGTGACTTAGCACACATGCAGTAATAGAGAGTGTTGCCATTTCCTCCTCCAGGGGATCCTCCCGATCTGGGAGTGAACCCCCATCTCCTGCATCTCCTGCATGGGCAGGAGGGTTCTGAGCCACCTGAGAAGCTCAAATTCCATTTTAGACCTACATAATTTAAAATGCAATGAGGAGCCATCAATGGGAGTGGTAGAAAAACCGTTGGAAATTATAAACTTGAGCACATTTAGGGAAGAGATACAGATTTCAAAATCAACAGCTAACAACTGGGAGTAACTAAAAGTAAAAGGCCACAGAGATAATAGAAAGAGCAAACCCATAAGGGTCATTATCACAAAAGAATTTGGTGACTGGGTATGAAGGATAAGAAAGCCAATAATGACTCTGAATCTGCATAACTAAGAGAATGGAAGTGTCATTATAGAAAGAGGAGAGAAACAGTAAGTCTTAAAGGGAAAAATAAAGGTACGGTGAATAATCAAATGCCAACACTGTTATTTAAAAAGACTATCACTGCAGAGAAAACGGACTGAATGAATGGTTCTCAAGTTAACCATGGGAAGCTGCACCTGGATATAGAGGTATGTTATGTCGTGATAGAAGTTTTCAGAGCTTATTTTACCAATAACTTTGGTATTTATCTTGCTGTGGCCCAGTAACTGGCAGTTTGCAGACTAGCATAGGTCCACAGACCACCCTTGGTGTGGTCCTAAACTGGAAAGTCTTCAGGGTGCCTCCCCCTCTAAGACGGCTTGAGAGTGATACTTCCAGAGGCTCCCCAGGTAGCTCAGTGATAAAGAATCCACCTGCCAATCCAAGAAGACTTGGATTCAATCCCTGGGATGGAGGAAGATCCCCTACAGTAGGAAATGGCAACCCACTCCACTCTTTTTGCCAGGATTATCCCTTGGACAGAGGAGCCTGGGAGGCTATCGTCCACGGGGTTGCAAAGAGTCCAACAGGACGGAGCATGCAAGTACATTCTTCAGATCTAGTTCTGAGGAAGATTACCCAACTAGGACGAGAAAGGCCAGTTCCTATCATTAACCAGCAGTGCCAAGAGCTTGCACCTACAGCATTCCTCAGTGTTAAGTTTCCTTCCTTCTTTAAATTTTCTCATTGGTGAAATGAGAGACATAGCTGGCTCCTCTATCTCCCACGGTTAAGAGAAATAATATGTGTGAAATATTAAGATGCTACTAATAGCCCCACGTACGGAGCAGTAAAATTCCGAACATGATTTCCTAAGACTTTAGGCTTATCTGTAATCTCAGAGCGACAAGAAATTTTACAAATAAAATTCACATTAATTTATTAAAACAACAAAAGAGCAAAAACTTTCCACAAAGAAAAAATTCAGGACCAGATGGATTCATTGGTGAATTCTACAAAATGTTTAAAGAATTAGAGGGCTTCCCTCGTGGTCCAGTGGTTAAGATTCCACTCTCCCAATACAGAAGGCATGGGTTTGATCCCTGGTCGGGGAATTAAGATCCTACATGCTGCAGGGTGCAGCCAAGAAATGAACAAAACAAAAATAAAAACTACAGTAAGATGTCACCTCCAACCTATTGGAATACCTACTATCAAAAAGAAATAACAAGGGTTGGTGAGGCTGTAGAGAAAAAAGAACCCTTGTACACTGTTGGTAGGAATGTAAACTGGAGCAGACACTTGGGAAACAGTCTAAACAGTCTTCAAAAAATTAAAAATAGAACAGAATTACCATACGTAAGACCCAGCAGTCTCACCTCTGGGGACATATAATCAATGGAAATGAAATCACTGTCTCAAAGAGATATCAGCATCCCCAGGTTCACTACATCATTCCTCAAATAGCCAAGATGTGGGAGCAACCTAAGTGTCTACACACGGATGAATGGATAAGGAAACTGCAGGAGATGTACATAATAGAATATTATTCAGCCACAAAACCAAAAATTCTGTCATTCGTGACAACATGGGGGGACATCAAGGGCATTATGCTAAATGAAATAAGTCAGAGAAATAAATGCCATATGATCTCTCCTTGTACGTGGACTGTTTAACCAAAGACTTGATTGGTGGATGCCAGAGACAGAGGTATATGGGAGGAAAAATGGGTGAGCTATGTTTTAGGGCATTTTATTTGTTTTTTAGTTTAAATAAATTGAATAATAAAAAAGGATTCTGCTTAGTCTCTCATGGTAGAAAAAAGACCGCAATAGAAACTTTTCGAACAATGATACCAACAGTCTTACTCAGGAGCTGGCAGTCTTGCGCTTCATCTACGTTACCTAACCCCGTCTTTCACATTCAAGCATGTATATGTTGTCTCTATTGGCAAATGTAGTAACATTAAGGATAATTTAAAAATAAAGAAGATATGTAATCTTCCTAAAAAAAAAAAAAAAGGTCAAATAGAGATTTCAACATCCCATTCTCAGTAATTGATAGAACAAAATGAAAGGAAATCACCAAAGATTAAAAGAAAGAAAATCAGAGAAAACCTCAACACTATTAACCAATTTGACCTGACATTTACAGAACGCTGTAATCTAAATGTGATCTCTGATCACAGTACAATTAAATGAGAAACCAATTCCTGATAAATCTCCAAATATGTGTAAACTAAATATCACTTCTAAATAACTCATAGATCAAACAAGACATCAAAAGGGGTATTAGAATTCCCTGGTGGTCCAGTGGTTAGGACTTCTAGGTCTTACTGACAAGGGCCTGGGTTCAACCCCTGATCAGTGAGCTAAGATCCCACAGGCTGCATGGCAATTTAAAAAAAAAAAAGGGGAGATGGGGAGGGTATTAGAAAGTATTTTGAATTTAATAAAAATGAAAACATGTCATACCAAAATTTGTAGGATGCAGCTAAAACCAGTGTTTAGAGGAAAATGAATAGCACCAAGCATCTATGCCAGAAATATCTCAGATTTACATGACTTAAGCTATTATCTTAAAAACTTTAAAAAATTAAAGCCAAACAGAAAAAGCAATAAAGAACAGAAAGCAACAAAATAGGACTTTCCTGACGGTCCAGTGGTTAAGACTCCACACCCCAGCGCAGGAGGCAGGGGTTCAATCCCTGATCAGGGAAGATGCCGCATGGTAGAGCCAAATAAAAAAGAAAAGAAAGCAATGAAATAAAAAATAAGAAATGAAAAAGGAAGAAAAAGCAATGAAACCAAAAGCTTTCTTTAAAAAGATTAAAATCTATTATGAAGCTATTTTAATTAAAACTTTGAGGTACTGGCACAAGGACAAACAGGTCAATGGAAGAGATTAGAAAATGCACAAATAGACAAACACATATATGTCAAGGGTTCCAATGCAATGGAAAGCAAGTGTTCAATAGTGTTGCTTAAATAGAAAAGTCATATTGGAAAAAAAAATGATCTTTGGTCCTTCACATCACATATAATATATACAAAAATAAATTCCAGAAAGACTTTTAAAAGATATTATGAGAAAATAGCTTCATAATCCTGGCATAAGCAATGATTTCTCAAGTGAGTCAGAAACTAACCAGAAAGGAAAAAAAAAAAAAACCTAATAAATTGTCCTCATTAAAATTAAGAACTTTATTCTATTGAAGACATTATTAGGAATGTGAAAAGGTAAGTAGTTCCTGGCTGTAATTACTGTTCCTTAATAATACATTTAAGATACCAACTTACTTCTGCTACCGACAGACCTCAGTAAAATCCTAAGCACTCCACTTTGGCATATGCATCTACAACTAAACCAAGCACCAAGGAACCTTTGCCAAAACAAGGCCAAACTTCCTCTCCAAATTTCTGTAAGTACCATTTTAGTTTAGGAAGAAAGTTCTTGAAAAGGTTCTTCAGAGGGGAATGTGGTGATCAAACCACTGTCCATTTTTCTTCCCAAAACACAATGAACACGTTGAGGATTTTAAATGGCAAAACCTTTTGAGAAATCTCACATGGCGAAAATTTCTTGAAGAGATAATGGACAGGCTGGGCAGGACCAGCTTCTTAGAGCTCTCCATCTGCTGTCACAGTGGAGTGCAACTAGAAGGTGGACAGAAGCCGTCCTCCAGGTCATCTCCAGCACAGGACAGAGCTCCGGAGGGAGCACAGTGGGAGATGAGGACGTGCAGCCGCAGGCAGAGGCGGGATGATAAACCCACGCAACCCCAGTTTCACTCAAGGGAAAGAATGCAGTGCCCTGCGCCTGAAGCGGAGCACCGCCTGAAGCATAATACGAGGTCAACGAATATGCTGAGTGAGTGAACAAACGAATGAAGAGGAAAAGACTAAAGGGACAGCTGGGCAAGAACTAAAGACAACTGCTTATAAAAAGGAGAGATACACAGTGAGGGGAAGAAGGGCCAGGGAAGCACAGCATCACGGTGAGTCAAGGAAGAAGCAAGTTAGCAAAACTGGCCAAGAAAGTAAAATGCTACAGAGATAAAGACGATGACCGTTGGGCACAAGTCTAACACAAATTCTGAGAACTCTGCAATTAAGGAAGAAATGGAGCATAAGCTGCTCCTGATCAAAGGCAAATACTGCCAATACTAATGTTCAGGTCATCTGCAGAATTAAAATAGGATTCTTGGCTACCATTCACCAGTCATTTCTCATGAATCAGGTATTATGCTGAGCCTTTACTTGTGTTACCTCATTTAGAGCAATTTGTCAAATTAACTCAAAATATCCCAAGTCAAGCTAAGCTGATATGAATATCAACCTTAGGAAACATGTTTGATATTATCCACAACTTGGAAAGAAAGCTTACGCTCAGTTGTACTTCCATCTGAAAGCAAGAAATGCTAATGCTAAGGAAATAGTCTTGAATGACATATAAAACAGAACCTCAGAGAGAAAAAAACATATAGCATTTTCCAATAGTAACTCGGAGACAGGAGAGACAAGGACAACTATATGGGATATAAATCCCAAGAGTGGAAATGGAAGCATTAGGCTATTAAAGGTTAAGGACAACGTCCATTAATAAATACAGCTAACTTTCCTGCTCTAACTCCACGTCCAAATAAGCTTCTGACTATAACTTGCCTCCCGTATAGTATTGCTCAGTGAACATTTGTACCACTTAATGATTGTGTTTCTGACTATAAACTAGAATTTTGGCTTATACATCAGACTCTAGTGAATCAGTTTCTTAAGCCTAATCATTTCTGGGTATACTAACAAATCACACTGCACGCCTATCAATTCAGAAACCAGACCCTAGAATGTATATCCATACAAGGATACTTTGCAATTCTAGGAGCTGGCCTGGGACAGATAGTCTCCCCTTTATCTTGTTGAACATCTTTTCAACAGAACTTTAAAAAAAAAAAAAAATTAGCTGAGTCTGTAAGTCACCTTTTGGCCTCACAGAAAAGGATCTATCTCAGTCCTCTCACACTGCACCCAGCGCATAGCCCCACGATGCTGAGGCAGTCCTCTGAAAGAGAACTAGCATTCTTACTACCACCTGAAGGGGCTGTGCATTAACCTACAGCTTTCTGATAAGGCAGATACCAAGAACCTCTAATGAGACTATTTTGGAAACTACTTTAACACATTAGAAGTATTCAGCACATTAGAAATATTAAAGAAAGGATCAATCTTGCATAAGATGGAGGTGAAGTAAAAAGAACTATTCCCAGCTACTGTGTGGACAGGGCCAAAGAAAAAACACAGAGAAATCAGACAGGGGGACTCCAAGTAGGCCAGGGACACTGGCAAGTTCCTTCACCTGTCGAGGCCTTGATTTCCTCTTCTATAAAATGAGGAAATGGGATCCGATGAATTCTCAGGGCCCCTTCAGTTCTAAAATCTATTACAATGGGTTCCTTCAGTCATAACTGAAAAAGGTACTGAAACAAATTTACCAAGGAAACATAAACAGCACTCTCCTCAAATAATATAGTACATCTCCTCTCAAGTGGAATCTATTTTTACCTCCATTACAATAAAACTACATCCAGTAACATTTTAAAAATCAGCATATACAGGAAGAACCCATTTACTACAGTGGAAGTTGAAGAATAAAAAGGAAGAGGAGGACTCACGTGTGTCTTTCGTATCTGAGGGTCTCTCGGATGGACCAGGCCACCTGGTACGGTGAGGCCTGCTCTGAGTCCTCAAGTTCTTCTCCACTCTCTTCAGACCAGTCCAACCCTAGGACAGCGGAGGATGTGGCAAGTTAGAAAAAATTCATGTTTATTTAAATTTTAGATGAAAAGCTACCTGAAACACGTAACCCAACACCTGCAGCAAACACTACCATAGTGTGAATAAATGCCTCCTGATGAGTTTCATCCCTGTTTCTAGCAAAGATATTAATAATGAATGTACAACATGCACTCAAATTTAAAACAATGACATTGTAACAAAAAGGCAGATGAACTTCTTCTATAGGATGCTTCACAAAGGGAGAGGAAACAACAGCGAGTTCAAGTCAGAAAAAAATAAAGGGTAGAATTTCTTAAGTATCAAAACATATACACTAAAATAATGTCAGAAAAACATACAAGATATTCAAGACAACGGGGAAAGAAGCCTAATGTATGTTCAGGCAAGGAAAAGTCAAAAGGTACCACTGGACTCATGCTATACCTCAACAAAGAAGGGCCCTAGAATAAATTGTTAAAAGGCAGGCAGAGTGCATCCCCTCTCCCAACATGTCTGGAGGAAAGGACTCCATCCACAAGGCAGGAGCATGCTCAGTCTTTTGTTCCCCAGGGGAAAAGGGAAGGGCAGGACTGTTGTGCAGTCGCTCAGTGTGTCCAACTCTTCGCGAGCCCACGGACTGCAGCACACCAGGCTTCCCTGTCCTTCACTGTCTCGCAGTTTGTTCAAATGCATGTCCACTGAGTCAGTGATGCCATCCAACCATCTCATCCTCTGTCGCCCCATTCTCCTCCTGCCCTCAGGGGCAGGATAGCAACGTTCTATTTCTAATGTCACTGGGGTTTCTTTCAGTTAAACAAAAGCTGTCACATTCTGAGTTCCATTTTGAAAACAAGGTTAGAAGGAAAAGCAGAGAAAGAGTATGAATAATGTTTATTCATTTTGTTAAATGCATTATTTTTAATGACTGGATAATTACTAGCTTCCAACATAAAGGTTCTGCCTTTTTAAAAGTTTTGTATCTTGAAGAGGTCTTGATAAATGCTGATCTTGCACAGCCTAAAATACAACAGTGTGTGGACTACTTAACATATTCAAAACCACTATAAAACTTTAATTAGACACCCTGATGACTAGAATTCTATGTCTTCCTTCTTGAGACCCTCAAAAATCAGAGACAGTCTTTATTACGCACAATTAGTTATAAAGGATCTCATAGATTTATTTTTTTTTTAATTTTTTATTTTTTTCCATTTATTTTTATTAGTTGGAGGCTAATTACTTTACATCATTACAGTAGTTTTTGTCATACATTGAAATGAATTAGCCATGGATTTACATTCATAGATTTCTTCCATAATTTAAATGAGTTAAGTGTCCAATATAATTGCTTAGTCATGTCTGACTCTTTGCAACCCCAAGGACTGTAGCCTATCAGGCCCTTCTGTCCGTGGAATTCTCCAGCCAAGAACACTGGAATGGGTAGCCATTCCCTTCTCCAGGGGATCTTCCCCACCCAGGACCAAAGCAGGTCCCCTGCATTGCAGGCAGATTCTTCATCATCTAAGCCACTAGTTAACATGTGCCAAACTAGGAAATTAAGAAAAGGTTAATTGAAATGCAAATTATAAATGTTTAAAATTAAGGAACACTGCCACCAGCATAAAGAAACTCTAAACCTATTTCCAAGATGACTATTCAAACTATCAGGTCATCTTAAAAAGTTACACTCTCTAACTAAAATAACAATTTGATAAAGAGTAAATTTAAAAAAAAGTGATCACATTATCAGCTTCAGGATGTTGAAAGGTGAGATCTTTCAAACACAAAGTGACACTTAAGGCACCTTTAAAAATTAGAACATGAACTGTTATTTTTTAAGTTTCTGTAAAAGTCAAAATAATGTCTACTAAGTCACCTATGCTTCCTCTGAAAAAGTCAAGATCTAAGTCATAAGAACTGAGATTGAAGTGCTTCTCCTGTTGTAAAATTAACTGTCCAATAAAGCAAACCTTTGATCTTGGCTTCATTATCACCAGTTTCAGCGTAACTGATTGAGATGACCAACCCAAACGGGATGGGAGGAGCCAATTAAATACTTCATTTTTCTTTAGGTATTCTTTGCTGACGTGAATGCAGACTCGGTTGTAACAGTACATTACAATTTCAGGTTTCTCGAAAATAATCTGTTTTAAAAACTTTGTGGCAGAGACCACACAACATTGTAAAGCAATTATCCTCCAATTAAAAAATTTTTTTAATTAAAAAAACAAAAATTTGAGTTCCTCATTTACATTTTCTAAAAATAAAAAGACAATACTTTTCTATGAGTTTTAATTCTGTTCAAAATGATTGAAAGTCAGCCCTCAACATAACGTAAAATTTCAAAAGCTAAAATATTATCAGTATCTAGAAATAAATAGAAATACAAATAAAAATTTAGCAGATGATGTGGGTAAAAGCTGGAACGAGAGGCAGATGTGCAAAGAAAACTTAGATCTCTGCCTCAAAACTAATGCCTAATGAATTCCAAATAGATGACTGAACTAACAAAAGGACTAAAGAAAATGTTGGTCAATATACACATATATATACGTATACATATATATATGTATATATATGTTTTCTTGGAATGAAGACAACCTAAACAAAGGGAGAGGAAAATAAAATCTGATTCAAATAGAAATCTTAAAAAAAAGAGAGAGAGAGAGAGAGAGAAAGTTTACATAAAAAATTTTAACCTCTAAAAAAAAAAAATTAACCTCTAAATTCCAAAACCTTTATAATAGGGACTAAAAGCAAACAACAAATGGGAGGGAGGAGAGGCTTTGTAACAAACATGAAATATGTATAAAAGGCCCTTACCTATCAAGAAAAAAAAAAGAGAAATGCTTAAATAAAAATGGATGAAAAAACTGACAAGATAAAATAGGAAATACATATGTCCAAAAAAGGCAGTATGAACCAATAGTCAAAACTACATTATTAATCTAGAATAGCAGTTTTTACTCAAAGCTTGGCCTACAGATCCCCAGGGGTCCCTTAAACTCTTCTGGGGAGACCTCTAGGTCAATACTATCTTCAAAACAATATTAAGATATTATTTGCCTTTTTTACTGTGGTGACATTTGCACTGTTGGTAAAAACAACAACAAACCTTGGTGGGTCAAACTGCTGATGCCTTAGCATGAATCAAGGGAGGCAAAAAACTATACTAGTTGTCAATATATGTTCCACACAATGACTTACAATGAAATGAAAAAAACAAACGAAAGCTCAATTCTGGAGTAAAACTTGAATTTATCACTGATGGTGTGACAAATTCTTAAGAGTCAGATTTTTCTGATATGATTAGTGTTAATATTAATGAATGCAATCTAAAATTTTAATATAACAAAATATGTCAACATTTGGGACATGTGTGTAATTCAGTAAGCCAATATTTACCAAATGACCAACATAACAATGTTACAATCTCATCCATGGGTAAGATATTCATTCAAAGTACAAGGCAAATCAATGGATTTTAATGTAACTGTATGCAAAATTCCTTGATATGGTTTCAGATTTCACACAAAACTAATCTTTAAAAACTACCACTTGTCAAGTTATGGTGAAGAACCAATTACAAATATCTATAATTTTTTGGAAAAAAAACTATTAAAATACCTGCCCTCCTTTTCCTACAACAAATGTGTAAAGCCATCTTTTTATCTACTAACCAAAACCACATTGAATAGGGACACAATGAATGCAGGTATCTAGCCGTCCTCTACTACACCAGACATTGAGTTTTGCTAAACAGGGACTTCCCTCGTGGTCCAGTGGTTAAGACTCCACGCTTCTATTGCAGGAGCAGAGGTTCAATCCCTTGGTCGGGGAGCTACGATCCCACAGGCCACACAGTGTGGCCAAAAAGATGTGCTGAACAAGGTCAAAAAATGCTGCTCTTCCCATTATATTTGCTTCTGTTTTGGAAAGTTATTTTTCATAAAAAGGACATGTTAACATGCAGTAAGTTTATTGTTATTTTTAAATGAATTAGTACTTTCTAGATTTCTCAGTTTTAACTTCTAATCCAGTAACTAGTAACAGATATAACTCACATATATAAAATCTCAACAGTGACCTCAACAACTTTTGAGAGTGCAAATAAAGTGATTCTAAGGCCAAAAATTTGAGAAATACTGGTCTAAGGTATTAACGCACACCTCAGAAGTCTTTTATATGTACTGCCAAATTTTCTATCAAATTTGTAAAGGCAAAATAATAATATCTAATATCCAGGTCTATAAAGATGAAGAGAAACTCATTCTCATACACTGCTGAAAGAAAAGTAAACTGAAAAGATAATTTTGAAGGCCAATTTGGCAATACATATCAAAAACCTTTTTAAAAAGTGAAAAAGCTTGGAATCAGCAATTCTGCTTCCAGGAATCTATTTGAAGGAAAAATTAAAGATGTGATAGTAATTGTTTTACTGCGAGGGCTAAACAGCTGCAATACTTTATGATTAAATAAACTGGAAATGATTTAAATTAGAGAAAGAATTCAGCTGTGACAAATTACGTTGTGTATGAAAAACTACTAACTTAATACATTATAAAATTTTTAAAATAGGTTATAATACTGTACATATAGCAGAAATTTAATTTTATATATGTGAAAGAATATGCCAAGGTATTAACAAATAAGTACTAATAAGGCCTGCTTTGTTGTATTTGCTTATCTATATTTTTTTTCTTTAAGCTTCATTAGTTTTTTTAATTAACAAGTCAAGTTTTATTGTTGTTTAGTCGTTAAGTCCTGTCCGACTCTTTGTGACCCCACAGACTGTAGCCCACCAGGCTCCTCTGTCCATGGGATTCTCCAGGTAAGAATACTGGAGTGGTTGCCATTTTCTTCTCCAGGGGACCTTCCCGACCCGTGGATGGAACCTACGTCTCCTGCACTGGCAGGTGGATTCTTCACCACTGAGTCACCTGGGAAGCCCACCAAATGCCATACATTGCTTAATAACAAGTAAAATAATATAAAGCTATATAAGAGTTATCACTCCCATCTCCCTAAAAACACATCCTGTCCAATTCCATCCCCCATGGCAGCCAATGTTAACAGCCTAATAGTGTACATTCATTCACACTTTATCTTGTAACAAAGAGACAAACATTTATTCACATGCTTGATCAACAGATATACTGGTGTCCCTTGTTTATGCACTTTGCTTATTTTTACAAAAATGGGACAGTACAATACCACGGTATTTTTCTGTTTGTTAAGATATCATGGATACGTCCAGGTAAAAGATAGAGATTTCACTCATTCTTTTTATTTTTACTTATTTTTTTAAATAGCTGTGTAATACTTCATAAAATGTATACGTATCAGAATTTACTCAAAATTTCCCACAGGTTATAAAGGTGGTTTGCAGATTTTTAGTATTGCAAGCAATGCTGCAATAAACATCCTAGAACACATATCCTAACATTCTGGTATTTTTTTTTAATACACAGAGTTCCAAAAGTGAGCTTGCTGACTATACATATACTTTTAATTAGTAGATAGTTGCATTACTCACCAGTCACGTATGAGATCCCATATTCTCATTAACGGATATAATTTTTGCTAATCTGATAGTAACTGACTGTTATTTTAATTTGCATTTCCCCATCTGATAGGAGGATTGAGGTTTTCATTTATTGACCATTTATATTTCTTCTTCTACTATATCCATCCTTTTCCCATTTTTCTATTGCTGTCATATTTCATGCAAATAATCTTCCTTAAAGTTAGAATCACAGCTGACAAGAATAAATTCCAAATGTATCGAAGGTTTAAATGAACAAAAATAAAACAATCAAACTATTAACAGAATATGTAGAATATCTGTATAAACTTGCTATCAGAGGATTTTCTTGATTACGATAGAAAACTCAGAAGCAACAAAGGAAAGATAAATATTTGTCTCCATTACAGTTTTCTGTAACTTTTTGCTTTTAAATCATGAACAGGCATTACTTTAAGAATTTTTTTTTAGAAAACTGTCAGCAGATGCCAACAATACTATCTTTATTCCAAAGTTCTATGATAAGATATGTCAAGAACTTCATTAGACACAGGGACTGAGCTCAGAGAAGCACAAAACCAAACACAACTGCTTTCAACATTGCTACTACCCTACTAGAAGCTTTAACTGGAATTCTAAACTCCCAGCTCCTATTTTTCTGTATCCTCTTCACCCATTACTGTTCTCTCCGGTAGCATGTTTATGTTAAGGTGATTTATCTAAATACAGAGTCTTGATTGGACACTCTGTCCAAGTATTCTTCTACCCCTATTACATATGAGAAGGCTATGAAAATAAAACCTTGTGCAAAAGGGCACATTTTGTTATATTACTCACGTATATGACACGGTAAAAGAGACGGTAACTCACCTAAATGGGGAAACAGATCAGTGTCCAACTGATGTTTCTGGGTGCACAGTTTCACCAGTCTCTGCAGTCGACTTATACAAGAGAAGTGTGGAGAGAAGGCTGTGGCTTTCATGAGGACCCGGTCAGTCCTGGGCGGGTCCACGGCGGGAGCCCTACTGGATGGCAGGAGGGGCAGAGGCCTCTTGTGAGACAACTGCCTCGCTTGTGCTATAGTGTGTGTGGTGGGGGCCACTCCCTGCATTGGTAGGCTGGTGTTCTGAGGTTGAGGTGACTTGCAGACTACACCCTGCGGGGGCGCTGGAGGTTTTAAAGTGGGTAAAGGTGACAGGTGGGAGTGCTGCTGCGGAGGCTGCTGCTGAGAAGGGGCAGGAGGGGGACTAAAGTGCTCTTGTCGAACTTTTAAAATCTCGGTCTCTCTCTGGCGCTGCCGGTTCTGGGCCAACTTGCTCTGCAGCTTCTTTCTCACAGTTGCCCCTTTCTTTAGGTCATCATCTTCCTCGTTGAAAGCAAAGGGGTCTTCCAACTCGGTTTCCAGGTAGTGGACAGGGACCCTTGCCCCTGGTGGAGAGAGGGACATTCCATCCAGTCCATTGGGCATCTTCAAGGCCAGCGTGGGCACTGTCAGGCTAAAGGCCATGGTATCCATCTGGTGCCTGACCTTGACCTCATCTATAGGGTCATTCTTTTTCTTCCTCTCTTTTTTCGGGATAAAGCCAAGTACCTGCAAGTGGCTGTTGCAGTACCTATAAAAACACACACATACACAGGAGACCGTTTCTAATACATCTTCAGAAAAGTAGAATACAAAGCTACATATCATAAAATGTGAATCCTTGTATGCTCAAAATGCATGACTGTGATAACTCTGCATTCGTGGATGTAATTTATACAACTTCCATTACCCTCAAGCAACCCGCAAAGTCTGTGCAGTTTTGCTACAGCAAATAAATGAACTGCACATGAGAAGAGGCTGCCAGACAGAAGCAAGTCATTCAAATAGTGAGTGGTCCTGGATAAACACCTAGCTATTGGTTCTCACATGGTCTTGTTATTCTCTACTCATAGCATACAAAGTAGCTTGTCTAAAGGATCTAAAGGATCACTTAAAATTCTCTTCTAGAGAAAAAAATCACATGTCTCAATACCATTCAAGTATTGGAGATTCACAAAGATCTTACGACATAACACTTAAGAACGTCAAATGTCTACTGTGTGTTCTATACACACACACACACACACGCAGAAGAGGAGAAAATAATAAAACTAGTTAGTGCGATTACAGATTAAATGAGTTTCTCAACAGCCATGTGTTGAGTACATGAATTATCTCTTCTAACTTCTACCTGCAATAGGTACCAGAATAATGCCCTTTATACAGATGAGGAAGCTAAATTTTATATAAATTAACTTACCCCAAACCACCTATATAGAAAATGACAGAGCTAAGACTTAAACTAAAATATCAAAGCTCATTTAGCACACGGAACAATATTTAATATCCTGTGATAAACTATAGTGGAAAAGAATATAAAACAGAATGCATATATGTATAACTGAATCACTGTGTTGTACCGCAGGAATTAACATGTAAATCAACTATACTTAAATTTAAAAAATAGAAGAAAAATATCAAAGCTCTTGAAGACTCTTATTAAGAATGCATGTAATTTGAATAAAATTACACTGAAAACCTATAGAGGTTTCTAACCAATAACGACAAAGTCATTTGTCGTTTAGTTGCTAAGTCATGCCTGACTCTTTGCAACTCCATAGACTGTAGCCCACCAGGCTCCTGCATCCATGAGATTTTCCAGGCAAGAATATTGGAGTGGGTTGCCATTTCCTTCTCTAGGAAATAGAAAAGTATTATTTCCCAAACCGGTATAACTCATGCAGTTCTAAGGTATGTTGACTAGTATGCCATAAAGACAGTATGCCATGCTTAAATAAATTTGGGAAAATGCTGGCTTGAACAGAGAGAGATAATAATTTTATCATTTGTTTCTGCTGAACAATCTCTCAAAGCATCTTGTATGATATGTGCATTATACTCCAAGGGTAGAAATGTACCCATGTGGCACTGTTTCCCAAACTTATTTAAAATGGCACCTATTTTTATTGCAGTGTATCTCCATAGAACACAGCTTGGGAAAAAAGCAATAAAGTAAATAATGTCAATTCCCAAACTCACTGGGCTCCAACAGAAAAGTGTTTTAATAACTGCTAAAAACACAGATTCACCAAAAATGAGGACACATGGTTTTGCTGCTTTGTCTCACTCTTTCATTGCAAACACAACTATTAAGAAAAAGCCTTCTGGACTGTAAAGAGACTCTGCACTGCACATGTATATGTGTGTAACTAGCAGGTTTGAGCTAGGTCCTACCTACTGTAAATAGAAAAGATTCATAAAACTACAGCTAATAAGGAAAAGGGTTTCAGGTATAAACGTATTAAGCTTCCCAACAAAGTGTTGCTGGCTTTTGTTTGTTTTCTATTCATTTTCAAATTGACAAAAGGATTAGTATTTTTAGAGAGGAGTAATGAAGTGGGCTTTTTAAAATTTAGAAATCAAGCTGCTCTGCTCATTGACATGGGCCGTCTAGACTGGTAGATGAGGCTACTATTCATGCATCACCTAACGCAGCAGAGGCGAATCCACAGGGACAGTCTTCCTTCAACCCCACCCTCGACCCACTCCAGCCACTGTCACACTGTGGCCACATAACTAGAATCACAACAGCTTACTTAGTTATGAACAGCATTTAAAGTAAGTACGTATTTAAAGTAAGTATGTAAATATGAATCCCCAGTCAAAAAGAATACAGGGAAATGCCTGCAAATGTGTTCCTTTGGGGGGCTGAAAATGTCATATTAGACTATGCTGATAGTTACACACTCCTGTAAAGACATTAGAAAATACTGAACTATATACTTCAAATGGGTAACTTGACTCATATATGAATTATATCTTAAGCTGTTTTAGAAAAGAATATAGGAAACAAGAAAATTTCTTGGTAAGTACATACTACTAAATATATATATATATATATAAAAACTATACCAAACTTAAATTTACAATACTATATAAAATAACCAACTTAATATAACCATTTATCTCTGAAATATCAAGGCTACAGTACGAGGCCTTAGTTTCCCACTGTAAAAGTATATTAGAAAATGGACATTACTTTTTAATTATACCAGTACTTCTAACTGAACTTAACACTCTTCTATCCAAAAGATGGAATTTCATAAGTTAGCATTTATAATACACACCAGGTAAGTTATGCACTTATTCTACCTAACTACTGACCAGATATTTTGGTCAACTAAAAGTCCTTGGGAATTTGTTTTCTAAAACTATACATAAAAACATTTCAAATCCCTAAGTGTCCAAGGAGTAACTGCCTTAACAATGATAAAAGCTTATTTTCAAAAGAATATTAATCTTTTCTACATTGTGTCATATAGTATAGTTACAACTATTACATTTACATACATTTACATTAAACATATTATGACATGAATTCAACCTGGGTTTCTTGAGGTTAAGTAAGAATATTACTTCCTACTAACATCTACTTTAATCTGTTTTCAAACAGCCCTACAACAACAAAAACACAAAAATATTAATAGCATTTGTGTTCATATGGTCTTGGACCAATTTTGAAAAAATATATAACTCAGTACTTTCTAAGTCCAGATTCTCTTGACACAGCAACACAAAAGTCCTTTCCTTTCTCACTCTTAAAAAAAAAAAAAGAAAATTACTTCGAATATAAAGGTGAAGACATATTAAATTAATTCAGATAATTAATATTTTGGAGAAATTCAGAGTGACTCTCAATTTACTTCTTGCTATTTGCTATTAAGATAATACTTGCTTCAGCTGAATTGAAAAAAAATCCAAGGTTGACAAAAATCACGCCTCTGATAAACTGAATTTAAGACAAAACTATAGACATGTGATTATAATGGATCTTGACGTGAAAAAAGAAATCCAAGTCCACTCATTCTTCAAGTTAAAAAGGGGTAAGAGTAAGAAATTATTTTTAGTCAGCTAAAACCAACTGGACAGACATGCTTAGCCTAATACACTGGTACCTTTCTCACCTGAGATTAAAGTTTTATCCCTTTCCTCACTAAACAGCTGTTTCTAACTTTCAGGTATTGTAATTTGAAACCTGAAGTGCTCATTAGATATTCTAAGAGAGTATTTCCAAATCACCACATTATACTGTACTCATTTTGGTGAGATATTTATCAACACAAATTATTTATTTCACCCTATAAGTTGCTCACCATGACATACAAAATACATGATTCCTTTTCAATCGATTTACACAGATGACATTTGTTTACATATAGGAACAAAAAATAAAGGTTGTATATGTATTTTTTAAATGTAGAAATAAAAAGTTCAAAATTTCTACCTAAAGATAAGTATTTGAAACTTTCAGGAAAAGAAGCATGCATCTCTCTGTAATATTCTACAATGATCAACAGGGTTTCTGGAGAAGTGACAAAAAGAGACATTAAAAAAAGAGATTATATGTGAAATATAGTATAAATTTTTCTAAGGATATGAAAGATGAATAATCAGCATAAAACTCCTTTAAAAACATCTCATTATTTTCTTTAACTCAAAAAAGTATAAACTCATAATCCTAGTCATAAAGCCTACTTTACTATGAAAATGAAGGTTCTAAATTATAGTAAACATAGTTTATATGGAACTCTTTTTAACCAAAAGAAGCCTGAGAGGAAATAAATCTTCTGAATGATTCAAGTAATCATTCTTTTGAATAATGCTTTTTCAATAAGTATATATCATTTGCTACCTTTCAAGTACAGATTTAAAAATTCCAAAATTATTATTATTAACTATAACACCAAAGTAGTTCCTATCATTTATCTCATTTAGGCTGATGAAATACTAAGTAGAAAAATCAGAAAACATTTTGTAAGGCTGTAAACCAAGCACATCAGTACCAAGACATCAAGCAAAAAAAAAAAAAATTTTACACGCTTAAACATACTTCACAAAGAAATCGCCAAAGTTACTACTCCATTTCCTAAAAATTGCCATCTCTCATCTTTAGAACCATCCTAAAGTTTACTTAGATTAACCCCTGAACTCAACAATTAAAGCCATCATATCCTACATCAAACAAAACAGAAGCAACTTCCGAGCTTGCTGATTCAATCAGAGGCTGCTCCCCACTGTCAGCGCTTACCTGCGGTCCTCCGATTTAGGAATGGGGTTGGTGCAGCGCTGGCTGTTATACTTGGCCACATATTCACATTGCTTGAAGGGGGCAGTCTTGTCCTCCAGAACGTGTCTGATACAGAAAGCGTAGCCGTTGAGTCGCCGCTGCTTGCACAGTTTGGGGCTATATGAGCACAAGGGCTTATTGTCAACCTCAGAGAAGTGTATATGTTTCCCTTCATACATCACGTGACTCTATTCCTTGTGAACATCAGCTAAAAGACCACCACAAAAAAAGAAACCCAAATGATAAATCAGAGAGTATAAGGCAGGTTTAAGTTGAGAATTTCACTGAGGGACTTCGGGCCCCACAGCCATACCTGATTTTAAATCTTCTGCACCATAGCAATGTTAAGAGAACCCCAAGGATACCACAGTTTGGAATGCTGCAGAATCAAGATGAAGCAGATTGTCTACAAAAATATCAAAAGGCCTAGTTAACAAATAGAAATAAGCAAAGCTTGCTCACCTGGGAAGTAAAATTCTAGGGTATCACTCTTCCTAACGGGATGGATTCTTCACTGTAACCCAACATCCCAGTATTGAATTCAAACAATAAGACATAAAACATTAAGTTAACCTACCACTCCAAACTGAACTAAATAATTTTTGCTTTAAGCCTTGTAAATACCTCAAAATAGCAGGGTTCTTCCACCAAATTCATGTTATAAGGTGGCGGGTCCTTTTTTTTTTTTTTTTAACTGATGGTTTCACATTATGCCGCTTTTCAGAACTCAAATCTCTTTAAAATGGCAATGGAATGAGCTCTACAAACCCAAAACTTCCCCCAGAAATTCTACATTTTCTGATGTGTTGGCAAAATATTTAGCAATTTGTAACAAATATTTTTATGAAATATTAAAAAAGAACAAATCCCTGTTTTTTAAGTTATTTTTCCCTCTAATACTCCCCCCAACACCTGTCCCATCCAGACTACAGCCTTGAGCCCAAAGACTAGTCACCACCACATTTCCACCATTCAGTTGAGCACTCTGCACCACAGAATGCTCCCAATTACACCAGACAGTATAATTACCACGGCTGATGAGTCTCTGGAAGTTTAATAAGAAGATGGAAGAAATCACAGCAGTCACTACCCATCAACACACAAAAGGTCTAGGAGTTAACATGTGTGGTAACACCATACCGTCCACAGTGAAACTAAAACAACCCATCAGCTACAGCAGGCCACACGGGGCTGCTGCGGTCCAGCCTGCTTGCTCTACACTCCAAAATCACCGAGACAGATGATGAACAGCTCAGACACCAGCTACAGAGAACCTCAATAAGTACTCTCCCGTTTACGCAACTGAATAATGAACTCCTTACATCAGTGAATGTCGAGATACACAAATCCCTGAAGAGTCAGAAGATAGGTTTGCTTAAGTCAGAGATCTGCCAAGATAACTACAGCATTTACCTTGGACAAATCATTTAACCTTGGTTTTCCCATCTGTAAAATAGAGATAATATTAGTAGCTACATTATGAGGTTGCTACAGGGATCAAATCACACAAAGCATGCAACACACTAAGTACCATGCCTTGAACAAATAAGAGTTATTACTCATAAAGTTATTATTACTACATTTTACCTGCTGATGATAAAGGTAGAGAATTTATATTACCTTTAAGAAGGATTTCACTTACATCAGTAGAAAAAAATCTGAAATATTAACTTGGGTAATAAAAAAAAGAATCACACATTACTGAGTAAACCTAATCATGCATCAATGTAAAACAAAAATAAGAACTTTGCCTTTTCACTTTATTATGAGGCAAGGAAGAAAAGTTGGACTAAAAATTTAAATTCAGCTGCCCTGAAGGTCTGGATGTTCAGGACAGGAAATTATTTCAAAGCAAACCCATGCGGTTTCATTTTTACACTCTCTTTGGCCTGCTCATCCACCTGGTAAACACACATCTTTCATGAATTAGTTAAGTAAATCTATATGAACTTCAGGAAATAAATACGCTGGATATAACTAACTGAAAAAAGGAATTTACATAATCAATTTGATTGCCATTATGAAAAAAAGCAGCCTATATATCTAGATGTATGAGAATATTTTATAAATCACATGAAGGGTAACATTCACTTTATACTCTGAATATCCTAGGTGGCATCATGTCTATTAAGACTGATGATTCCCCCTTGCCTGCCAATGTTCATGCATCCTTTTTCCCTATTTGAATTGGCTAGAACTATTGAAACAATGTTAATAACAGCAGTCACTCCTAATTTTAAACAAGAATTGCTTCCAGTCAATGGCAGTAAAATGCTGACTTCTGTGTTATGTTAAGGAAGTATGAAGTAATTCCTACTTTAAGAAAAAAACAAACTCAGAATTGACAGCTAACTTTTTACCAAATTCTTTCTCAGTTTCTAGGGAAATGATCATTTTTCTCTTGCACTTTTAAAAGTATGTGCTAAAAATATTTAATATTTAGTATCCTGATACTGTACTCTTCTTACACTCCTGGAATAAAAGCAACCTGGTCATCACGCATTATTCTTCCAATGTATGACTGGGCTATATTTGCTAATATTGAGGACTTTTGTATTTTGAGACTGTCTATAGAGTTTTTTCTATGTGTGTGCCTTGGCAGAATCAGGTATTAATATTTTAAAAAACAATTTATAAAATCTATGTTCCTGAACAAGTTAAAAATCACTGCAGTTGTAACGTTCCTTAGAAGGTTGCCTGGGCAGTGTTCTGTGCAGATCAGGTTTTCAAATTTACCTGTATACAATTTAGCAATGTGACCTTTTACACTTAATTTCCTAAATATCTGTGACTCATTCTTGTATTCTATGTATGCCCATATACATTTGTGATATTTGTGCTTTCCCCTTTTCTTCATGATTGGGTTCAACAGGAGTTTATCTATTTAATATTTTTACCAATATACTTCCCCACGCAAAAAGAAGAAAAAAAAAAAAAAACCTCTTGGAATTATCAGCACCTCCATGTATTTTCTAATTCATCAATTTCTGCTTTTGTATTTGTTAATTCTTTCTACTTTCTTTCCACTCTTCTCATTATTATTTTTTAACTTCTTGGGCTTAATTTTTTTATTTTCATTCTTTTCTTGCTTAATAATTTGTTTACATCTATGAATTTTCCTGAGTAGTGTTTTAATCATATCCCATAGGTAGTAATACACATACTAATTATCAATACTTTCTAGTTGATTTGGATTTTACTTTTTAATTTCTCCTTTGACCCAAGAGTTATCTAACATTTTCGGATGGCAGAGTTTAAGGCTTCCCTTTGTTTTAGTTCTAGTTAACAGCAAGGACCACTGGGAATTCCCTGGCAGTCCAGGGGTTAGGACTCCATGCTTCCACCGAAGGGAACCCAGGTTGGATCCTTGGTCAGGGAACTAAGATTACACACACACACACACACACACACACACACACACACACACACACACAAAAGGAGCATACTGGTGTCTGACTGATTCCCTGGGCCCAGCATAGGACCAAGCTTCCAGAGCCCTGAAGACAAGGGGGTAACACTCCAAAACACGGACTTATTTTCCACCCCACCTTCACTGACCAAGCAACTGCCAAGAACAAAGGCTGCCTCTCCAGACCCCTAGCAAAAAAATGAGGTACTTCCTCACAAATGGATAGCTTCTCTGAGGGGTGCACAAGTGTATCTGGGGAGAACTCAAACAAGTTGAGGAACGCCTGTCCTAGGAGACTGGAGAGATACCACAGAAGAATCTGGATGCTGTGAAGGAGGTTAACGGCTCAGGCAGAGAGAGCAGCTGCTGAGATTACTAGGAAGCTGGAGAAACAGGAGAAGAAACACTTGAAGGAAACAGCTGGCCGCAACTGCCCTCCCATCATCAGAAAACAGCAGCTGTGTGGAGGAGTATAAGGAAAGAGAGGTGCTGGGACCTTGCGGAGAGCCCAGAGAGCTGGCCGGAACACACTCTGGTTCCCTGGGCTCGGCTGCCCCCCAGGAGGCTAGGACCCCAGTGAAGAAAAAGCCCCAGGAGACTCCTCGGGAGAATGAAATGAAAGACCTCTTTTTCCAAACCCAAGAAGAAGAAATCTTTTTCCAAGGAGAAGCTGGTTAGTAGCGATCTTGAAGACACAGCTAGCAGTGGAAGTCTTCCCAAGAGGAAGAAATCTTTCCCCAAAGAGGAACCAGTTAGCGACCCTGAACTGTCAGAAACAAAAGTGTCCCCAAGAAAAAGAGGAAATTCTCTTCCATGGAGGAGCCATTCAAGCAGAGGGGGCCTTCAGAGTCTGCTGGCAGCAAGAAAAGCAGCTCTAAGAAGTTCCAAAAGCTATGCCAGGAAGACGGGAAGATCGTGGGGGGCATAACCCACGGAGATATTTCTCAAATCATCCCTTTTATTCCAATAAAAACAAACTTCACAAGGAAAAAAGAAAAAGAAAGAGCATAACCTGCATATATCTCTGATTCTGGATTTGACTGCATTTTTATTTGGGGACTAATAGGTGCTTCTGGAAAAAAGCATTTGTTGTTTCTAGGGTATCTTGCTAGTTACACCATATATCATGCTATTAACATTCACTGTTATTTAGTTTGCTTTCTGTCTACCAAGGGATGAAACAAAACCTCCAACTATAACCTTATTTTTCCTTGTATTTATTTTATAAATTTTAAAGCTATATTATTTGATACAGAGATTTCATGACAATTAGACTGTCACTCTTTATCATTAGAAAAGGCAATTGGTGTTATTTGTCTTGAACTCAACCTTGTCTGATGTTAGTATCTGGACTTCATTTTTTGGACCTGAAATCACTGTCTTTGCCTATCCTTTTACTCTCAAGTTTTCTGAAGCACTATTTAAGATCACAGGTCAACAAACTCTGGCTTATAAGACAAATTTGACCCATTGCCTGTTTTGTAAATCAAGTTTTATTGGAACATTGTCCTGTTCATTCATTTGTATATTGTATATGATTGCTTCCATGTTGTAACAGGAGAAGCGAGTAGCTCTAACAGACTGTATGGCCATAAAGCCTAAGTATTTACTAAAATATTACTTGCTGGTCCCTTTGTCAATGCATCTCTTACCAGGTGTTTTTTTTTCCCCTCCAATCGAGTCATTTTCTTTTAATGAGTTCATCCAATTTATAATTTAATATTTACTTACATGACAAATGTTTCATCTTAATTTTACTACCTTATTTTTTGTATTGTTAAGCTTTCAATTCTATCTTTTTATTACATATTTCATTTTATAGCCTGTTTTCTTGGAAGATTTATTGTCTGTGTCCTTTAAATCACATTTCTTTACTCCAAACTAAGAAAGTTAGTGTGCTTAGCATTCCTGTGATTGATCTTGCTATGAATGAGAACAAATTCCATTTTTGCTAACTACCTACCTATCCCAACTCAGTATTTCTTCCTTATATTATT